CTCTTCAGTTGCCTGTGGACTTAGTGAGTAGTACCGTAGTACGTCGGTCATACAGAAGTGACGCGTGAATACGGGCACCTCCCTTGCCTGCACCCTGCCCGAGCTGTTTATAATAACGACACAAGGTCTGTATTTACCCAGTTCGACCCCAAAAATGTTGTCTATGATGATGCCCACATTAACGGGGACCGTTTTAACAGACAAGACTGTCACACAAAATAAAAGCACTATGTACGAAGTTTTTTTCTTGAATCCGCGTTAAACAAAATTTAGTGATGAATTTTTGTTTTAATGCACACATCTTAGGTACACAATGTAGCTACTCCTCCGCGCAATTACTCTGCGGATTTAGACCTTTATCGTAACGCGGCACGAGCCTTTCAGATGCCCTCTTGAAAAGAAACGTTACCGCATGAGGTCTCAAGCCATTCCATCGCGCGTCGACGAGATCATCAGTCGGCGTAGACGTGTAATCCGTACGGAGGAGACCGCGTGAAAGTTTCGGGGAGGACGAACAGCGTCCACGATGATGGGGGGGTTAGTGAGAAACGCCTGTGTGACGACTGACGGCTTCGTTGAACGCGTGATGGAACGACCGAGAACTCAGGCCGCAACCTCCTTTCAGGGGGGAGGGGAGGGGACATCCACGAGCTTGTGCGCCACCTCGTAATAATTGCCCAAATCTGAGCCATGATTATGCGGAGAAGTAGCTAGAGGATGATTCTACATTGTGTACATGAACACATTTGTCATCGTCTTTTCTCTTCCTACCTCCTAAATCATAAAAAAAAAAAAAAGGCCCTTGGTTTACGATGGAGTTTAGAACTCCACGCAGCGATGGAATGTTATCGTTGACGGGAGTGTGCTCGGCAGGCATGGGATTAGTGGCGACGCTGAACAGTCCACACGAATGAAAAGAAAATTCCGCAAATCCGCGGGGGCTTGAGCGCGCCGCGCGTCAAATCAACGAAGGTCATCTCCATCCAAGCGCTGGGGAGGGGTTCATTCAGATCGCCTGGGAACCTTTTGGCGCACAACACCCAAATATCTCAGCAAAAAGCCTCGCGCACGTTTGGCTTGAGTACGTCTCCTCACGCCACTTTTCGTGCATTGTCCTCGCTGCTCTCTTCCTTACATACTCTCGTTGATACTTTTCCCGTGGACTCCTCGATACTCTCCTCCGTGCAGAATCTTCAATACTTGTTGTGGACTACACCTAGTGCAGTACTCCTTATTGTTGTCTCATCGGTGCTCGTAAAGCATGCGTTCGGTAATCCCTCGTGTAGTTCTCATTACGGAGTCCTCGGCACTCCTTACGTGGCATATTCGGCACCCTCCTTTTAGCTCTGATTACTTTGTACGAGTCTCCTTGTAGTCTTTGGCAGTCCTCACGTAGCCTCTTTGGTACTCATTGCATGGCCTCTTCAGAACTCACGATAGCCTCTTCAGTATGTTATGTTATGCAACAGAACATGTAGTTATGTAAGCTTCTCGGCCCTCCTTATGTGGGCTCTTCAGTGCTCCCACTTCAGCATGTTATGTAATGTAACCAGAACATGTTTCTCCCACATAATCATTACTAACACTTCCTTGCAACTGTATGTATGTACCTTCTTGCAGAGCTCCTCGTGTAGCCATGCAAAGCTCACTCTGGGAATAATTAATATTACAGAGTGGGAACAGCGCATATTTGTTGAAGGACATCCTCATCCTGTAAGGTGATCAACCAACTCTCCCCAACTTCCTGCCCCGCTAAACGCACTCGATCCGTAGAAATGCGCTACACAACATCTTTGAACAATGCACAGCTTGCCCTCCATCACCTTGACGAAAGCAATAAAGGTTCCAAAAGACGCGCACAAACTATACACACTAAACTTGCCGATTGTTGACAGTCTTTCCCAGTGAATTACAGGGTTGAAAGAGAAAAACACTCAGAAGTGCCAACGACTCACGAACGAAGACAGTTCGGAAGGGCGTAAAAATGATCGATGGAGAACCACTACAGAAAGAAAAGTTAATACAACAAAAAGGGGAAAAAAAAAGAGAAAAGAACATGGGAATGAAGGAACATAAAAGCCGTGAAAATAAAAATAACTGCTATTCGCACGTCCAATCAATGGCACAAAGGGCATTTTCTCTATCGTGCCTCTTGCTGCAGAGGGCGTGGAAAGGTTCACTATATACTGCGTTTATTGTACCCCAGGATTCTCCAACGATCAGTTGTTGTCATATTACAACACTCGACGAAAACAAGTTGACACAGAGAAAATCCAACATTCTTCCAACGAGAAATCAGAGCGGACGTGACGTCCCAAACAATTCCGGCAGCACCCACGAGATCGGCATCATTCTAACTTGATATGCATCCCTTACTATTTCTTTTTGCTGTCAATTAGGTCAAAGAAAAAAACACAATGCGCCTGGACCGTGAAAATCGCCCCAGAAATGGGTGAACAACCAACGTAGCACATCAGGGCCCCTAAACTCGTCAAATACAAAGTTGGGGCCGAAGTTGACGGAGCGCACCGATTGGCCTATCACGACGATGACTTCGCGTTTTTTTTCGCCAACGTCCAATCAGCGCGCTCTGCAAACTTTCGGCTCCAACTTTGTGTTTGACGAGTTTAGGGCCCCTGGTATTGCAATGCAACAAATTCCACGTACTACACCCAATCCATGTCCCAGGTAGTGGCGACGCGAGACGAACCCGACAAATGTCTGCGTTTAGCTTTTTCTTACTTAAAAATTAAGTACGTTTGACAGCTTACGGTGCACGTTCTCCGAGTTGCGTAGATCAGAGATCACCTTATCAGTTATCACTGTGCAAGGCCGTTGACACGCAAACGGGATCTACCTGATCTGAGATGCCCTCTATCTGAAGTGACCACGACTTGCAGTGCGAGTTTTTCATTTTAAAAGGACCGGTTTCTTTTTCTTATAGATGCAACGAGTAACTCTACAAGATGAAAAAGAAAATTATTGCAGTGCCGTTTTTTAAAGCGGTGTTTTGCATAAAATTTGGCAGGTCCTCCTTTATTAGATTTAAACACACTGCGTTTTTTTTAGCATCCAAATATATTTTGCTTTATTTATACTTGTATGTTTTCCGCAAGAAAATCGCTGGCTTGAGTCGACCTAGTTTCATTTTTTTTTTATTTCTTTTTCGGGTCGCTAATTGCACCTTGCGGTAGTGACTTCTTTTTTTTTATTATATTTTTTGAACTCCTGTGGACCACTTTTACGCTGAGCATAGCTGTTAGTTTATACCGCTCTAAATAACACGAACGCGATTCAACCAGAGTGAGTGAAAACCACGAAAGAAGTAAAACGCTGTAATATATATCTGTGTGTGTGTGTATGTGTGTGTGTGTGTGTGTGTGTGTGTGTGTGTGTGTGTGTGTGTGTGTGTGTGTGTGTGTGTGTGTGTGTGTGTGTGTGTGTGTGTGTCAACAGCGACAAACATGTACACCTAGATTACAACCCAATGGCTTACAGATGATACACCTACATTACAAACGCCCTGCCTATTTTTTGATTCCGCCAGAAACTCGCCAGAAGAAAAAAAAATTCTCAGACAAAAAAAAAAAAAAAAAGAAAAAAACGAGAACGGGTGAAAATGAAGTACACCAAAAAGATCTCAAACACAGCTATGTTGAGACCTTTTAGTGTATGTGACGTTTGTCCCCACAGTCTGTTTTTTTTTTTTCGTCATGCTTAATATTCACAAACTCGTTCGTGCGTTTCCAATCAATCCATTTTTTTTTTCGGGACATGTGATTTCGGAATTTGCTTCAAGCAAACAAAGCCGTAATCCAAGTTCAGCGTTCTCTTCGAAACAAATCACACCGATTAAAGGGTATGCAACGTAAAACGGCAGAAACAACCGGCATTATGCGTTGTCATGCGTCACCACCCAGTAAGAAAAAGAAAAACACGCAAAAAATCCCTGCGAGTGAACACTCACACGTCACGAAACACGGAAAACAAAAAGAAAAGCAAACCAGAATGCCTCACATTCCGGCATGCCACATAAATGGGCTGCCGAACGGTATCAATAAGCACAATATAATACATATATATATATATATATAAAATAAATGATAGCGACAATTGCCAAAACAGCTCCGACGTTGTTTTTTTGTTTAATTTTTTCGAGCGTCATTGTGGGGATGGTTCTCCCATACACTACAAACTCACAATACCGAGAAAAAAAAGAAAGAAATTGAAAGATATAAAAAGGGTGTATGACGGGACCAGGGAAAAAAAATAAATAAAAAAAAAAGAAAACAAGCAAAAGCAGAGCGCAGCTCAAAAAAAGTTTCGAAGGCGAGAGCCAACCTTGGCACAGTCTCCGTCATTTCAAGCGCCCACGTAGCCAACAAAACGCTTCTAAAATAAAACTCCACGTGTGCTCGACACATCGATTTGGGCGAACCCTGAGCCCGCAAAGGTAAGGTTCAAACGCCAGTTCACGACCACGAGTAGCGAGTCGTTCACCAAAGCAAAACATGGACCAGTGAGACGCGAGCGTTCATGCGATCGCCGACAAAGAGGCGAAACGGGCGACAACAAGCGTCACGGACGTCAACAGGCCCGTCGAAAACTCTTCCAGCGCTTTGCCCAGGAGAGGCCCAGTCGGCGGCGTGGCCTAAACAATGCTTTCCGCCACGGTGAGCCGTGCTATTCCGCTCTAATTCACCAGTTTTCGCCGAGTTTTAGGCCTAGGCCGCTCCAATAAACTCCGGACGCCATATTGCTTTTCGAGGCACACGGAGACCCCCGAGCGTTTGTATGAAACGGCGAGTGTGTCTTCCGCGCTGGCCTTCTCGGCCCTGCCAACGGCATTTCTAAAGAGCGCTCAAATTTTGCGACTCGCTTACGCATACCGGAGTTGGACGGACGCGCGACACACATCTCTTTTGTTCGCGGAACGGAGGCACTGAACGGAGATGAAAAAAGAAAAGTAAAAAGAAAAATACAAGAGGGAAGGGACTCACTTGAAACTCCGCTCTCTCGACGTCCCACTGGGCTCTTTCCATTTCGAAGCGGGCCCATTCGTGCTGTATGAAGTGTAATATCCCGGGTATCGAATACTGTGGTCTTTGGGCTTGGTCATCCGCGTTCATCTTGCCACCCATGCCCATAGAGCCGCCGGGCGGCCCCAGTTGACCCGAGTGGTTTTGTGCCGAAGAAACGTCCTCCATCACTGCATGGCCGCCATTTACATGAACAACCATCGCTACGTCACTTTGCATGCTGGGATACTTTCCCGAGCCATGACGTCATTGAGGAGGGTTGGTGCTGCTCGCGGTAGATGGCGGCACTTACTTTTAAAGGGCTCGCGGCGACATTTTTAAAGGGACGCCACGACGCAACTATGCCGCGTGCTTCTCTGTGTTTCTCGGGATATTCGAGTTCAACCGGTCATGGATTCTCCGCGAACTGATTATTTATCTTCCGGGTGATCCGATAACTCAGTGTTGTAGCTTATGGACCACGTTGTTGTACTAAAATATCATCGTTTTCTAGCGAAAAGTGTGTTCTCAGACCATCTTCTCGTACGATCTTCACCTCAGCGTAAGCACTTTCAGCATTCAGGTAACGACGCTGATGTTTGATCACGGTCGACAGCGTGATTAGTTATAGTGCATCGTTGACAGTTTCTTTTTAAAATTTAAATTCAGGTTTAATACTATTGCACTTGTATATTTATTTCCTGAATGATTTCGACGGTTGCTTCAAGGTCACAGTTCGTACACCGTATCTAACGCTTTTAAAACGGGCATAAAACCGCAGCGTCCACAATGGGGTCTTTTAGAAAACAGTTATCGTGTTCCGCGTATCGGACTACCGGAGCCTTTGAAGCATGCTTTTAAGCGTGCACCCCACGGTCACGGTATCACCCTGGTGCGTGCTTAAAAGCATACTTCAAAGGCTCCGATAGTATGGCACGCGGAGCATGGTAACGGTTCCCTATTTTCTAATGTGCTGAAGATCGCGCCAATCTGGAATCGTGCTTACCCGCAAGAATCACTGACGCGCAGGAAAGAGCTCTTCCAAGGGAACGCGGTTAACTTTGTAGGGTTCTGAATTCGTCATATGTTTCAGCACCAAGCGGACAAGCTGACATGTACAAGTTTCTCTTCATCGCCAATTTCGACCAGAGACTTAGGTATGCGTATTACTTCGACCACGTTGATAAGTCGAAGCGTGCTCAACTCAGCACAGCCCTCGTCCAGAAATGCTTATCACGGACTCAAACCAGCGTAAGTGATTTTTCACCAGTCACTTACGTGTGTGATTAATGATCGATTGCACGACACTACAGGTTACCAAAGATCGACTTATGCATACTCAAATATTCTAAGACGTCAAACTATACCTTTGAACTTTATTAGTACAAATTTGTGCCAAGGACACTGGACAAAAAGATACTAATTATAGATTAATTCGCGTTTAGTCAAGTTTGAAAGATGAGACACACAAAAAAGATAACAAACAATACACTCCATATTTGAGAATAAATACAAAAAAAAATGAACCACTTTTATGGTATTGTGACTAAAAAATAATGATTCAGCATGAGTGTCGTAAGGAGCCACGAGTGGGAGGCACTAATCATGTTGTGCTTTTTATTTTTATTCTAGACGTAATGAAGTAATTTAAAAGAGCTGCGATAACAGGTGCAGTAATAGAGGAGACACAAGACAAATTTGTCATTCTACAGATATCACAACAAACTAAACATAAATTTCTCAGCTTTACAGAAAGTGCAACGAACTAAAATAATTACATACAACAGCACTATCCTACCAAATTAAACTAATGCAGGCTCTCGAGCCTTCTCACTAAAAGTGAAGCTGTTGATTGGTAAATTCCAGCTTTTGCTCTACTTAAGAGTATACCATCGGGGACCGATATGAACACCAGGTTGATGTAACATGAGGCATAATAAACCAATAGTTTGACCTACTGACAGCTTAGAAAGAAAATCTAGATGTCTGTAAGGTTGCCCCAGTACTAAAACACGTTTGCTTCCTTGCAGTGTTCATTCTTTGAGCACGAGGGCTTCAGCATTGTCTACCGGAAGGTTGGAAGGCTCCTGTTCATCATTGGCACTGATGGTGCAGAGGTCAGCTCTTTGCAAGCCTTTTTACATAAAAAAAAGATGATTTGTTGTTATAATATTTTGTTATCATGGTTTTATTATTACTTAAAATATGTAAACAAGTTTTATTGTACGATTTGAGTCTTGTTAATAACATTTATTATGAGATGAACATTTCGGCGTTGTTTTAGTGATCACTTTATATTGTCTAAATATTCCCTCCCACATCTCCTTCTCTATGGTTGATGACATGTCTATGTCCGTAAATAAAATACCAAGAAAGTCCATTTCAATCTAATGATTTGCTGCAAAATGTGGCGTTGATGAAACAATTTCATGTATTTATTTACTCCTGCACACTTTGGCAGTTCAGGTGGTAGGAATGACTTCCATAGCATACTTACATCATTACTGTCATAGCACCCAAGGAAAAAGAAATCACCACATTTTCTTACGATTCTTAGATTGATGTGCTGCATACAATACTTAAGTGCAGCACTTTTGTAAAATCTTTAGTGAGATTCCCCTAACTTCCAACACTATCTATCAATTTTCATTTGAAACTGAAGAATCTAATGCCAAAGTCTTAAACCAATTATTCGCGATATATCACCGTGTATCAAAGCACAAACAAAAACACAAGAACATGATTCGCGCAATATCACTGAGAAATTCTGAGAATTGACATTCAAGTTTCAACATGGCGGTTTGCTTACATGGGGCACAGCATAAAAGCACTGCCCATGTTTGGTCCTTTCAGAACCACCTTGCGGTGTACGAGTTTGTCCATGCATTCGTGCAAGTCCTGGACGTCTACTTCGCAGGCGTGGTAAGACTTGCCAAGTAGCCGACACGAAACTAGCCATAGCCAAGCCATTGGCTAGCTCAGAAAAATCCTTTTCTCAACGCTCGCCGAAATAAGAATTTCAGCAAGACTTCTACACGCTCTATGTAGCACTTACCGCAAGCAGTTCACAAGTCAAACACTAACTTGGTTCACTAACTTTAGAATAGAATAGAATAAAACATACAAAATGGCCGTGAATGGCCACTTTGTACTCTTTCCTTCTCTCCTCTTCAGTGCTGATTTTGGTAAAGCGTGGAGAGATCTCACGCAATCTCCACCTTTTCCTGCTGCAACAGAATGCCACAACACTCGCAAAGCTGCATTGATTTTTTCCGAGTGCCATGGTCGAAAATTGACGCAGATTGTAACGTGGCAAGACATTCCATTTATTTTGTTCTTTTCATTTCAGACGGAGAAACATGTATCCTTTTGCACAGTTTGCATTCTCATCTCGAGTCTTAAATGGCCCCTTCCTTTCAGCAGAGACAACAGATAACACAACCCGGTTTAGGAGAGGGCAACCTGTCTGTGGGGCACAAGCATTGGCCTACAGAGAGCACCCCTTGGTCAGTGAAACTGTTTCGGTGGTAGTTTCAGAGGTGCCTGCGATTCGACGGAGGCTTACTGTGGTGAAGGTGCCATGCAACAGATTTCGGCTGTGCATCAGATCTTCACGTGGTCTACAATAACCCTTGGTCATTTGCGCAGCACGCCATAATCATAGACAACTTGAGAGACGCAGGACAGGGCATACTATGTACATGCTCGTCGCTTCATTCCTATTGGCTACTGTAATGTCATGCACACGATAAGAATGGCATGAACTTTGGGCGATTTTGTGCAAGCGTTAGTGTGAAGCACGTTGTAAATGGCTCGTACTTTAGATCCTAGATTTTCAGGAAAATAATCAATTTGCATCTCCGGTGAAACCATGTGCGAAATCGGGCGAGGGTTAACATATGAGACGAGGCTGGACCTTGACACCACGACTTCCAGATCATCACCGAATTCCACAAGCTCCACCTAGTCTTGCAACAGATGGTGTGCAACGGAAGCGTCGTCGAAACCAACGTCAAAAACGTGTTGGAGCCTCTGAGGGCCTTTGACAGTTCCTGACACCCCGCGCACCTCGGCGGACGGAGGTCACAATTAAACGTCGCGAACGTAGGGGACACCCTTGGCTCTTCATTCCGCGAACGCGAGATTCGAGCATTACCAAACGTGGCCGCGCCGTCTGCATCGAAAACGCACTGCGTCGTGAACAGAGACAACAACACAGCGCATTCTCGATTTGCAGTTTGGGATTCTCGTCGGTCAATGCTGCAATCTCAATGACTGCAGAGCGACAAAGTGCTCAAGACCCGCCTCGCCCCGCATTTCTCAGGCCGAGATTGACCATTGCGCCTTTCATTTATACTTAACTTAGTTCAATTCTTGCCAAAGGTAGAAATGTTCTCCACGTCAACTCCCACAAAAGCTAACCTCGTCGTTGGCAAGGTTCAGTGGAAAAAAGGCTCGGGCACACGGTTAGTCTAGTTCAAAGAACTTAAAAAAAAATGCAAGACGTGGTTATTGCGCTCATGCTTCTGCTTTGCAATATATTACTCTGCGTTCTTATTGGCCAATGTTGCAATCTCGTTAGCCGCAGGGCGACGACGAAATGCCGGGGACGTGCCGTGCCTTGCTCTTCTTAATCCGTCGGCGACACTATACTCTGTTTCACCTTATGATGTACCGCAGGAAAGGCTACAAGCGCGAGCTCCCTGCTCTAGGGCACATCCCGGGGGCACAAACTCTCGTGCGTTCAAAGCAGCTTCTAACGCTATGAGCTCGTGCTTCTATCCTTCTCTGCGGTACAACATAAGGTGAAGCGGAGTATAGCCAACGATGACTTTGAACTGCAAAAACAGCCGACGTGACATGTATTGCCTGTTGCCCGTTTTCTGCCCACAAAAAGCAACGCAAATCTGTTGGGAGCGGTCACCGAAGGTGGCGAAGAGAAACGCAGATGACTTTCATCGTACTCGAATAGAGAGTTTCCGTTTCTTCGTTGACGGTTGCCACGGAGCCTACGGACACAGACAAACACTGTTTTTGTTTCTTCGTTGACGTAAAAGCATGCACTCTTTTTTTTTTTTATTCCCTGGAAATTCGTTACACAGACGCACGCTTGCTGATCTCAACATGCTGTACACTTTGGTTCCCCTCTTTTTCTGCAAGCAGAAAACCAACAACAGAAAAAACACACACGCATTTGCCAACACTCGCTCGCGTTCGCACAAAGAAATTAATTATTTTAATCTCATCGTGAGTAAGTAGTAAAGTGCCACACTGCGATAGGGAAACACTAGGCCTAAAATGTTGCATTTGTACAGGTGGAAAAAGAGCGTGAAGAATTAAATATTAAGGGGCGATTCACGGTAAGCGCTAATGCTACAATGTACATGTCCCGGGACACCTTGGAAATGATAGGGCGCTTCAAGTGACGTGACTGCATCCCTTCCCCAATTTATGCAATGCCGGTCGCACTCCGTTCTTCGTCGTCTCAGATTCTCGATGCAATACAAAAAGCAGGCTTCGTTTACAACCTATATAAATTCTGAAACAGTGAAAAGAAAAAAAAAAAAAACATAGCTACATTCAATGTTGTAAATGCATTTTGATAATCTCTGGAATTGGTATTTAAAACATATGCATTGTGAAATGCAAAACATTTGTTCATTTTAGAAAAATTGGCTCCAAGCCTAAGGGAACAGTTAAAACAAAAATGGCCCGTCTTTCCAAAATAGGCGAGACAGCAAAAAACCTTCATTCACAAAGAATCTGTTGACATTAACACTAACGTCGAAGTTCGCGATTGCGAATTTCAGCGTCTGGGTCCATACTGCCTCTCAAAGTAGTAGCACATGTTAGATGGAGGAAAGTCCTGTACACTGCTTTGTTGAATACTCGACAAACATCCTACACATTTTCTCATTAAAATATGTTAAGAATTCGAACGTCTAATATTTTCCGTTTTCCCCGCCACTCCTAGAAAAACAAAGGAAGATATAGACCAGCTACCCACCTGGCCAAACATGCGAAGCATCTGAACGTCTCGCGCTGCAGTTACGTTTTAATGCTGTTGTTCTAAGCGTGAATTTCCAGCAGGGACAAAGCAGGGTGACTCAGTATTTTGGGGTGACTGTACTGACCACGCCGTGGATTCCTCGTTAGCGACGTTACGTAACGATTCTGGCATCACTTAATTTCATTCGACCCAACTCTGGCACGAACAGATGATCCAAACAAACGAACAAAACAGAGCTTCCCTTCATGTACACACATATAAATACATAGTACAAAAAATACAAAATTGGGAAGACCGCAGACAACTTGTTTTTTCTTTTTCTTTCTGCTTTGCAAGCTCCATTCGCCGTGCCGTAGAGACGGATCGGAACCCGTCCTTCGCCACAAGTCTGCTTAGTCATGCGCACTCTGTGACCGTGCAGAAATCGAAAGTCGATTGCTACGCCATAGCTGCCTCTTTGTCAACACGTCCGCGCGATAAGAAAGAAAACTTTGGTTGGTTCGGCGGAAACTGCGCAGGGCCACAACCTGGTGCGCCGACGTGTCCGTGGCGGCTCGTCGAAATACGCCTTTCGCGGCCGGACGTCTGCAAAAATAGAAATTGTGTCGCAGTCGCATTATGTAATGAATGCTTGTAGCACGTTTGATAGAACAAACAGTGACATTGAAAACACTGCTTCAGGCTATGTCTGAGTCGCCGAGAGAATGAGAGCGACAGATGCTCGAAAAACGTTGAGGTGCTAGTGAAGTTAAGAAGTTTGCATCGGAGGTAAGAGTCAAAGCTCCTCCTTGCCATTCACGTGCTACACCGAGAATTTCTCGCTACCACTAGAACTCTCTCGCGAGACTGTAAATTCAGTGCCATCTGGTGGTTTGTAAAGCAGTTTAGGTTTTGCCATATCAATGGCGGAAATGAACTTGTATTGGCACCGCCGCTTTCGCAAGTCAACGGCACGCGAGGAATTCTTCAGTGCGAGTTCTTTCTCGATCACTTTCAGTTCGATGATGACCAAGAACCTGCATTCAGAACAAAGCTTCAACCCATTTGGATGCCTCGAGAAAATTCCATACACCGAAGTGCTTTAAAGCCGATTGTGTGCCGCCCACAGATTGACTGAATCTGAGTTATTAGAAATAAACGCTTACGTAGCTAGCTCTTGTGTTCAATTCCCACGTCGCGTCGTGCTGACCCCCCGAATGTACAGGCCTTGCAAGATCCGCTCAAGAGCATCTTCAACGTCTCCCTTTACCAGTCACTAGAAGGCCCCCATTGGTATGGCACAGATGCCGTTCCACAGATGATGATAGTGATCAAAGTGGCCAGACTGAATTTTGGAAAGAGTCTATTCGCACGAAATGTGAACACATATGCTATTTCAATCTGGGACCCCACTACGACTGTTGAGTCAACGAAAAAAATATTGTGCTTGTAACTGTGTACGTCTGAACAACTCTGACAAAACATGAAGGTAAAGAATAAATGACACCACCATTGTGAATAATAAAAAAAATAAAATAAAAAAATGATCATTGCATTTGGTTCCGTACAGTCGCCAACCGATTTTTTGGACTCTGAGGGGACCCCGAAATTGCCCAATAGTCAAGCGGTCCGGAAAATTGCTTTGAGCCAAAATATGAAACTTCTGCGCATATTCGCCACTTTACACTTGCTTGATGTCAATTTGAAGTTCTTCTGCAACTTCTGCTCTATATTTCTCACTTTTCACGAGGCTACAAGGCAAAATCAAAACAACCAGAATGGCGGTGACTAAGCTCGCGGCGCTATCGCGGCGGCTGTTTTGTGGCTGTAAACTGAAGAAATCAGACAAAATTTGTCAGAAATATTGAGCAATGAGCTTTATGGTGTCCGAAATTTTGGACAATGTTATACATTAACCCTATGGGGTGAGTGACGGTTCGGTGAAAGCGTCTGAATAATCGGTCGGCGACTGTACTTGCAAACAGTCGCACTCTGCACTAAAGGACAAACAAAAGCCCTTTCTTGCTTGTCTATATTAGTTGTTAAACCCAATGTACAGTCTGAATATGAAACTAACCGGTAAAACAATGCGACTTTAAACAGTCGGTGCTCGTAATTTAGCAGAAAGTCTTACCTGCCATCGTTCAAAGATCCATAGATTGCTGTCTTCAATACGTCTCGCTCTGCTGTGCTGGTGTAGTTAGAAGCGCGATGATCATGCTGTTTTGGAGAAAGAACGTCGTTATCAAAACGGACGAAAACAACTGCGTGAGTGTGAAGACGGAAAAAATCTAAAAGGGTGACAGATTTTTTTTTTTATGAGCTATAACGGCTGCAACGTGACGTCGCAAGAGTGCTGCGGTACAACCAATCCACCGCAGCTCCACCGCAATGCGACGTCACAAGGGTGCTGCGCCAGTGTTCTTTGATTAAAGCTATCCCGCTTGCCGCCCGCTAAAGAGCAGCTGCTCGCATTTTTAAAATCGGTTTCAGTGGAGTACAGGGCTTCACTTTGACGTTATATTTCGGCTGTGATCGTATTTTGTGCCATTAAAGAGATACCAGTAATTTATTTTGGTTTTGTTTTCGACCGGAGTTGCCCTTTAAACATTGTTTCTTAACCAGAAAGCGGAATCCCACTGCTATATGCAGAAGAGGATGAGCATATCCAAATTGACATCCTTTGATCCCCGATCCCCAATTCCCCCCCATCCTATGGCACAAGGCACATCTCTATGCCAACGTGATCTGTTACATAAGTGCCTCCCAACGATGTGCTAAAGCAAAAAAAAAAAAAAGGAAGCAAATTAAACGGAGGATGGCAACAGTTACACGCTGCGCATGAGAAATTCAGCCAGTGCACTATGACTGCTGACCTGGGGTAGCGGTACATGACTGCATGCTGGTAGAATGCTCATCCAGATCAAAAGGGGCAGGAGTGGAGATTGAACCCAGGATTCCCGTGTTCAGTTCAGCGCGGGGTTAGTCCGCCTGAGTTTTTGGAAGCGTCGCCACACGCTTTAGACGGGATGTTTTGTCGGCGTAGCACAGCTGCAAGCCCGGGGTCTTTAACACGTACCAGACAGTAGCGATAAACAAATGCACTCTTGTACGATGCTCGACCAGATTGAAACAGGCAGGGGTGGGGATAGAATCTAGGATCCCTGAGATCTCGAGCGCAAGCTTCCGCTCCACATGCTACGAGTTGTGGCAGGTTAACGCACTTGGCCACCGATCCCCCGATCGGCCTTGAATGAAGTGGCGAGTGTCACTCACCAGTAGAGGTAGATGAAGAAGAAGAGCAGGTAAAAGGCGAGCCTTATCATAGAGTCCCTCAGGTGGCGCTTGAGGTTGCCGCGATTGTGGATCTCCGTCGGATCGTACACGCCAAAGTTGCAGTCTGGCACCGAGAGATACCTGCGCATCATCACGGTAATAAGTCTCGCCCCCCGCAGACGTTCATGCAAGTACAGTCACTTGCAGCCACTGTGCAGGGTGCACCCCCCAAAAATACTTTAGTTTTTTTTTAATTGCATTATTCAACTATGCATTGTTGAACGCTCAGTCTCCATCCAAATGTAGCGCTAGCGTTCCGAACCGGATGCCGAAGTTTTGGAACTAACTGTTGTCTTGTGCAAAAGTCACGAGTGATTTTCGCAAATTTGCGACAGGAAAATGGTGGCCGACAAAGCCCACGATTACGAGGGGCTGTACAACACAAATCACTGGAAATGGGCCCTATTTCTGCGATGGAAAGTTTAAGAAAATCACCGACAACTTTTGAATAAGATGCCAGTAAGCTCCGAAATGTTGACATTTGGCCTGGACTGTGAACGCTATATTTGGTCGGACACCGAGAGTTTGGTGATGCACAGTTTGCATAGTTTGGTGATGCATCCCACAGGTGAAAGCAGTCCCACAATTTATGCCCATAAAGCGCAGCATAATCGGTACATACTCCAAGGCTACAAAGAATTAGATGCTATCAAAAATGGGCAGATTGAGCATTTGATTGCACTCTGCAGAGGTATTGTTCGGCAATAAAAGAAAACACAACCCCTTATATATTATAGTTAAACGTGAGCGCGTTGGTTTTGATGACTTAATACAGAAAGAATAAACAGAAAGGACGGACAAGGACGGACATCTTTCGACTTTCAAGTCGAAAGATGTCCGTCCTTGTCCGTCCTTTCTGTTTATTCTTTCTGTATTAAGCCTTATATATTATTATTATTTTTTTTTTTACATTTTGTGCCTGCTTTGTTTTATTTAGAACTTAGTTTTCAAAGAACTGGTCTTTGCCATCGTGGCACTGCTGCCAGCTAAAAACAATACCACGGTGGTAATGACAGGCAAGGCATAAAGCTTGGGACTTCTCATGCTCACAAAAACAAAGCATGCACTCATGCAAGCAGCTCTAACAACGCTGAAGCACTGCGAGAATTATGCTAGCCACGACGACGTAGCACAGTATAGTTGACGCCGAGTATAATCCTGCCACCGAAGGCACTCACTTGTAAACCTGCCAGCAAACCATGGGAACGTTGAGGCCAAACAGAATCCAGTGGAAATTGACGAGGAACAAGGCCACTGTCATGGCCACCTGAGCGATCACCTCCGGTAGCACCCACTGCGGCGACAAAACAACACGCCAGCTCTGTCGAGGACAACCTACCGACCGACTCAAAGCAGCACTACTAAATGTGCTGACTATGCATGTTCGGGACAACCTACAAGCTGTTCTCGAGGACTCTTCGGTCGTAAAAAAAAAGGAGTATAAATGAGCCAATGAACGGAGTGCAACAATCTCTCTACAAAAAGGTGTCTTTAGGTGGTGCATTGACTGTGCTCAAATTTCGCGAATGTTGGTCCATATGGAGAAGAATGCAAGAAAGGAAAAATGCGTTATTCCTATGCAAAGTGAAAAAAAAAAAATTGAAACAAATCGTATGGTTGGCGCTGCCACTCACGGATAGTAGTACCACATGAAGCAAAAACTTGGAAGTGTCTTTTGAGATGAACAACCAATTGCTGATTTAAGCATGTGTGGTACCATTTCTGAATAGCAGTACCAGCCATATGGTTTTGTTGTCTATCTTCTTCCTGTGCATAGGAATGGCATTTTATTTTCCCCAGAAACCTACACACGGACGCTATTGAAGTAAGACAAATGCACCATCTAAAGAAACTTTCTTGAAAAGTTTCACTGCATTTCGTTCACCGACTTAATATTATATGGCGATTTTGACGACTGAATTGCACTCGAGAACACCCGTAAGAGGTAAACTGCAACTGCTGCAACCTTTCAGGCAGTCTGTGCATTCTGAAATCTGGGGTGCACATATTACAATGAAAGACTGCTCAAAGGATACAAAATATGAATCTCTTCGATGCCGACGTTTTTTTTTTCCGGTTTCACACGCGAACTATGCGTCCATTGAATTGAATCTTGGCAGAGCACGCCAACGTTTCCTTCGGGAACGAAGGATTCGAGTCTGGAGCAGTCAACTTACGATGTTCAGCTTGGAGCAGCATTGCTGGGCGTTCAAATAGTCGCATTCCAGGTCCGACAGCGTAATCACCTGCGCTCCAGATAAGGAGGACCGCAAAAACACTTGCACCGCGATCAGCTTCATGCACAACTCCCGCCACTTGCGGAGTTTTAAAAAGTTAAACTAGCTCACTTTAGGATTTACTTTCCTAAAAATAAGACGTAGGTAGTAGGGGTTCCGAGAGGTTTTGTCGCTTTTGTTCGTCGGAGTGCAAGAAAACGCCGGTTAGTGGCCGAGCGCTTTTTCGAAACTTTCAAAGGATACAACGTAGACAGTCAGGAAGAGTAGCGCTCCCGTGTCGAATAGGGTGAAGACAAACAGTGCGACATCTCCCATTATTGAACTGGACGAATCTCCAATAGAAGAAACACTCTTGAACCTTTGATAACTTGAAATAACGCCGAAGCAGCCCCACACACCCTCGAAGTGCGACAAAAACGCGCTGCTGAAAAAAGAGCGGCTCTAGCGCCCTAGCGGGATTCGCGTGCAACTGAGTAGCCTCTGCCACAGAGCTCGACACGTTCCGTCACTCAGCAATAGTACCGCTAAAATCGGAGTGCTAACCCTGAACAGACGGCAAACGCTTGTGACGTCAGCTCTTAAAGCCTATTCAGGGTTGTTTAAACATCACGTGACTAAACTTTGGGCTGCTTAAGGGTTAGTATGTGACGTCCACGCACACTCTCGAACCCAGCGTTACCGTTGTACCAATTGTAGGTTTTTAAATGGCGGAAATGAATCGTGCGGGGAGGTAGGGTCGTTTACACGAGCAAAATTGTTTTTGTCGTATCGTGTTCGCCCGGTATGTCTGACTCGGACAAAGGGTAAAGGACCCCGAGGCAGGCGGGGTAATCTCAGAAAGCAACCGCGTTGATCGGAGAGCTAAGGTGAGTTGGGAGTGTTGCTAGCCTTGGCTTGGTTCTGTGGAATATTGGCTACATCGTCGACGAGCGAGTTATGGATCATCCCTTTCTTTGCATGTTAATGTCTGGTTCCCTCATGGTCATTTGCTAATCTACAGGCTGTATAACTTCGCCATTTGCCAAGCTTTCTATGGCGCCGTTTATCTTCCGTTGGCACTGTAACGACTCAATCGATCGCGTAACAATTTGACAACGGTCGTGGATTATTTGACAGACTGATGTAACCGAATTTTTGAATTTTTTTTTTGTTCCATTTTGGATGCAACGATCGCGGCATTATTGTGACCGTCGTTTTATGTTACATCGCACCTCTGAATCACTTTCACGCATCTATTCATACAGACTTTCCTACTTCCTCAAGTACCTAATTTCGTAAAGGTTTGCAGGATGAATGAATGGATGGATGACGAACGGCTCTGCCCTTTGTGTTCGGTGCCAGCTCGCGTCACCTGCTTAGGTTTATTGACGGCTAATCGTAACCTCTCTCCTTTCGCACCTTTCTAGCTGTTGTGGTGTTGGCTTTAGAGCCATCCTAAACGCACCGAGGTACCCAGAAGAGCATGGAAAGATGTGTAAGCATGCAAGGTGGTACGACTAGTGCTTGGGTTGCTACCAAAGATCCAGCATATTTGTGGGCATTTTGTCTTTTTGTTGCCTGCTGGTTGTGACGAATCTTTGACACTTCCTCTGCATTGAGGCAAATGAATATGGTGGGAAGTAAATGTATTGCACCTCTGGCTTCGGTGGATCCTGCCTAAAAGTGGTGGCATTCCGATATCTGCCCTGGTACAGATATAGCTGCAGGGAAATCAAGTTTGGCGTGGCACGTCACGCCATTTAGCTCAAAATATTTGCAACACCGGGAAGGCCGTCTTGCCAGCCTCCTTGTTTGTGCCCCACGAGCAAACAGGCTGGCAAAAAGGCAAAGTGACACGTGAACAGTAAGGCTGGCAAGCAGGCTGGTCGTGTATCACTTTGAAGAGTGTGGTCTTTCATTCTAAACATTGACGTCAGCTGTTGCAGAAGAGCAAACGTTGAAGTTGTAGGCACTGTTGCACCCCTGAAAGCCTAGCAGGTGCGAAGCTCCGCAGCTTCCTGTTAAGGCCATGGGAAATACAATGCTGGGAACCTGCAAAAAAGATAAATAAATGCATTGATTTGTATCATAGCTGTGTTCGCGTGGATCTGCAGGTGCACAAAAGTGATCCTAGCTCTGTAGAGTGTGTTTAGCAATAAGTTTGTTTACCGTTATCTGCACTTTTATTGCCCCAGCTATGTATCATGTTTTGTAGTAGCTCAATGATTTTCGCTATTGCCTGGTGCAGACTAAAATTAATGTTATTCAAAACTCAGCACCAACACAGAATACCCAGGCACTAGCACCAAGAAAAAAAAAAAAATGAAGATGTAACGTGGGTCGTTATTCATGTTACGGCGTCTTGCAGTTTCAAGGAGCTAGTCATGGAATCACAGTTGCCAGCACCCAATTCGTGTTTTGCTGTTACTAGCAAAATGACTGGCAAGTGCCGAATTTCAAAGTAATATCTTCAAGCTTTTACCACGAGCATGGAATGAATGCATAGATGATACGGGATGGACTGCTTCTCAAGTAGCAACAATAATTACTATTGGGAGCAAACCCGAATATTTTTTTTTCCAGCATTTAATGCTGCCTTTTTGACCATGACATAATCACTTCGCCATTACAATGACGAAGCAATTATGCAGGACTGCAATTTAGTATCATTGAAACGAGAAACCAGGGGGACACACTAATACCCCACTCACACGGTGCTCTTGGGTCGCAAGCACATGCCAAGCGCGGAGAACCGCGAACTGATCCGCCGCCGACCGTAAACGTCCGTTAGCTGAAGGGACCTTTATGATTCTGTGAATAGGGTATAAGCTCTCCCTCTCCAAGTGCCATTGTTTTGGCTCTTCATAGCCGCAGCCAAGCTTTCTGGTCGGAACACCTTTCATTAATCGTCCACTCGTGTTCTCTCTGCAGGTCTAGTCTTTCAGTGGACGAGCATGGCCCGGGAACCGGTGACGCTGAATGTCTATGACATGGTATGATCACGAAACGCTGCGTCTCGCGCGACATTCGTGTTTTGCGAAATGACAATAGTACATAAAGTGGCGAGGGATGAGTCAAAGAAACATGCGCACCTGGCATTGAACGCATCACCATTTCACCCAAGTTTCCACACTTCTACGTTTCTGTTTTCCCTTGAAACACACCGGCACACTGGCTCCATTTATCGTAACCAATGATTAGAACTTCATTCAGTGTTAGGCACGCTATATCCTAATAGAGGAGCCAAACGAAGATCGCTACATGTGTAACATCCATGTCGTTTGGGTAGTCACCACTCCAGAGTTTTTTTCATTAGTTTTTTTTCAGCTAATCTAATTGGTTGCCGTGCGATAAGCACTCTGGCATGCTTTGCTTTTATAGTACTATGTGTAAAGGTGTAGAGAATTGCCATGCGCTGCTTTAAAAATAAAGGCGTCGGCACACTTTAGGTAGTTTCATCTGCGGCTGATATCATCTTCCAAGGACCGTCCGCTGCCAAGTGGAGAAAATTACATCTAATTGTCATGCATGTGCAAAATGATCGGTGTTTTTTTTTCGTATTTTTCATATTTTTGAAACACTTTTGCGTGCATTCCTTGGTTGTGTTTGGCTTTACAGTGATAAGGATCGATAACTGGGCGAGTTGGTGAGAGTTCATGTTGAAGTTGAAGCCTCCGGTTGCGAGAAAACACTAGATTACGTCCTTAAAGTATTCCATGAGTTTGGCCAAGGCCTTAGGTTCACTTATGAGACCCCAAAAGAGAGTCAAATTCAGTTTTTAGATCTCCTCGTTGAATTTACAATAGAACACATTTGCTGGTTGTATCATCCTAGAACATCAAAGAGTTTGCTAAACTACCAGTCAGCGCATTCGAAGCTCGTAAAAAGAGGAATGGTATATTCCTGTTTGAAATCTGCTTTAACAAAATCATGTGTTCACAAAATGGGCGTTAGCTTCACTTCCCAGATTCAAAGGATTAGGGATTCAGGATACCCGGACTCAATGATTTCATCAGCATGCGATAGTTTAATAAAACTCGTAAAGGTTAGTTCCGATTTCATGCTGGAAGAACCAGTTAAAAAAGAAAAAAAGAAAGTTTCGGTCATTGCTTATCTTCACCGCATTTCACACGGACTTAAAAAAGTCATGTCCAGACACGAGGTGAACATTGTTTTTTCAGCCAAAAACAAACTAAGTAGATTATGTTCCGCTGTACGTGCACGCAGGGAGGGGATAGCAAGATCAGAATATTACACATGTAAGGTAAACCATGGAATAAAGTTTGTGTCGTGCGTCAAAGGAGTGGTTCTTCCAGCATTGGGTTGCTGGAAGAACCACGCCCCTATTCCCTTCTCTTGTGGGCGCTGTTATATCGGGCAGACTGGCCGGTGCTTAAACGTCCGACTAAGAGAGCAAAACAGCTCCTTGAAAGGCATCGCTAATTCACATCTAGCGATGCATCGCAGAGATTGCGGGTGCGAACCGCAGTTCGAAAACACCAGCATATTATTTCAACACCACGACCAAACAAGTCGAGAGATGGTAGAAGCCTACAACATCATGAAGAGCAACAGTTTGTGTGTGAGCCAACCTTCGGTGACTATGACTTCCAGCGAGATGAAGTTTTTGGATTCAGGGTAAACCAAGCTCCTGAGGAAAGAAGAACACCAGTCTACAATCGGATAAAAAAGAAGAAAGGGGCATATTCCACGAGGCGCCAAGCCAGCGCGCGAACATTTGACTCCATGTTTTTCATTTCATTGTCATTCTTCCTTATGTTGTAATAACGAACCAGTTGCTAGTCAGCGCTTTGTCTTGTGTTTTCTTCGTCTCTGTGTGTCCTCGTCCCAGTCGCGCTGTTTTTTCAACATGTCTTTACAGTATTGGATCAACGAATACACATCCCCCATTGGCCTTGGTGTGTTCCATTCCGGCATTGAAGTTTATGGCACAGGTAGGTTGCAGCGCCGATTTTTCGGTTTTCCGTCGTTTGCCGCCCTGTAGTGCCCGATTTTCCTGGTTCTAAGATCAAGATGGCTCAGTACCACCATATTTTACGAGTAATACATCCGACATTGAAGAGAAAAAGACCAAACTTGGCTGCATGAATGTTTATGCGGTGGAACATTACTTTTATCGTTAAGTTTGCCGCCAAAACCTCTAAATATTGCGATGTGTGTCAGCCACTGCAGAGAGAAATTGATTGGCACAGTATGACTGCTAACCTGATTAATCTGCATCGAAAGTATATGGTGGCATAGATGGCTGTAAAAGAAAAGAAACAAAATCACCTTCTGCACGTAGCAAGCTCAAATTTTCATCGAAGGCATATTTTCTGGCAGCACCATATAATACCGTGCATCCGCCCATTCCACATTAAGCACCCGTTCTCAAATTTCTAAGATCTGAGAAAATATGCACAGGTGATTGATATGTAGAATTGATCACCGGACAAGCGCCCATTTCCCATTTTTTTGCGATTATCTCTAAATTTTGAGTGGGTGCTGTGCGGTATATTACGGTAGGGTTTTTCCCATTGGCCAGTGGGTTGAACCTCTGCATTGCAGCAGCCGGTTCGCAGGCACTAACGTTTTTATGCTTTGCACTACCTTTCTTATGAAAGTTCCGTCCAGTAAGTGCACTTAGTAAGAGCGATTCCGTGGCATGTAGTTGACCTTCATGATTTTCGATGACGTGCGAGTGCAATCCCTGCAGAGTATGCGTATGGGGGCCATCCATTTGCCTTCTCTGGAATCTTCGAGATCGCACCCAAGTTTGCCACTGACCTTGGGGAGCAGTTCAAGTACAAGTGAGTGACAACGCTAATAACAGCGAGCTTGTTATTAGCTGTGGCATGTGCGAGCATGAAACTCAAATATGTTGGCAGTGTAATAAGCATGTCAAGATGGGTCTGTTTGGCAGCAACCCAAACTCTCATGTATGCAATAGTGAAGCTTCCATGAGTTTATGTTCACTTTGAGTAAAGTCAATTTATGCACTGCGGTGAATATGTTCTGGATAAACAGGCAATGAATTTGATAGAGAATGATATGAACACCGTAAAATACCAAGTGGCCACCCAAAATTGAGAAAAATTGAAAGCAAAAAGGCGGAAGATGGGATGGGCTTAACCACTTTGCACCGTAGCGCTCCGAGGTACAGTTAACAACAAAACGAAGCTGGGTTAGTTAGGTAAGCTTAAAATCGGTGGTGGGTGCTTGATGTGTCCTTCACATAGCTTTAATACCTTTCACAAATAGCAGCTGGGCATTCCTTGTGACCTAGGCGCACACTTGGTATGATTGCGACATAGGTGCATGCTCAGTATGATTGTGACAAAGAGACTCATTCAGTATTATTGCGACATAGGCACACTCTGGGTGCTAACGACTCGCGATCTGGGGAAAACCTCGAAAGGCCTTGAGTGCAGGCAGTCACTTTTCTTTCCCGACGTTGCAGACAGAGCGTGCTGCTGGGCTACACAGACTTCAACCAAAGCGACGTGCGCAAGATTGTGGAAGAGATGGGCTATGAGTTCCGCGGAGACCGCTACCACCTCATGAACAAGAACTGCAACCACTTCTCCGGGGCGCTGGGCAAGGTGGGTGGAAAACGGGAGGTGGAGCCAACTGCAGCCTCAAGGGTCTTTGGACAGACTGGCCCGCTGGCATCATTTATTAAGCAGCCTTGGAACGCTCCCAATCTTCGTACAACTAGATAGAAGGCATTGTGATATTTGCGAGACAAATGGATGCTTAAAACTATCTCGGAATGATTTCAAGCACACAGCGAAAGAATGATGCATAAGATTGGAAGTGTTCCACGGCAACCCAATTGGTGGCACCAGTGTGTTTCCTCGTCACAATTGCACCTCTGCTGCAGACGCTGTGTGGCGAGGGCATCCCTCCCTGGGTGAACCGGCTGGCATACTTCAGCTCGTGCGTGCCCTTCCTCCAACGCTGCCTGCCGCGGGAGTGGCTCACGCCCATGGCACTGCAGGCCTCCATCCGGGACGGCAGCCTGAGCCCGCCCACGGCGGGGGGCCCGGCGAGGGGTTCGGCGAGCTCCAAGCAGCAGCTCTGACCCCCGCCCCCGCGGCGGGCGAGCGTGCCGATAACGAGGGGGCTGCGTCCCTCCTCCCCAGGTGCCTGGCCCTGCCCCCTTCGCTAGGTAGGCGGTCTCTTCTGAAGTTGCGAGAACTTGGGGCCGAGGTTTTTCGGTGGGGAGAAAACCCGAGAAGAAGGTTTTTTCACTTTTCGAGAACCCAAGGACGAGATTTTCATGATGCGAGAGCCTGAGAACAAGCTTTTCGTTATGTGAAAGTCCGAGATTGAGGATTTTACAATACGAAAGCGCGAGGTCAAGACTCGCATTGTGAAAGCTCAAAGCCAGCGTTTTTACACTGAAAACGTGAAAATGGGGTGATCACTATCTAGAAGTCTGAGGTCGAGGTTTTCATAATGTGTAAGAGCTGAGGTTTTCCCAATGCGACGACTTGAGAACGAGGTCTTCACAATTTAGACATTACTTCTACATATCTATCTGGTTACACTAATAGGCCTAGGCTCTGCGCTTTTTTAAATGGGTAAAGAGCTTGGTTAATTGAAGTGAAACAATTTTTTTCCTAACTTTCTCCAGTATAGAAGTTGAAAAATTCGGCAGCAGGTGGCATGTTTTCAATAACTTCACACAGTCTGTGCCGTAGGGAACTGTTGAACGCCACTAGTCTATTTTTCAAGACCGCTCTACTATGTAAATGTGTTTACGACACAAACACTGTGTAGCTGCGTCGTTCTTATTTTGCGAGGAGATCAAACTAGTGCCACTAAATAAGCTACGCTTCAGAGTAACGGCACTTGGCCATATTGTGGCTTAAAATCATGGTTGCCAGTTATCTGAAGCTTTATCTGAAATCACAGGAAATGCTTTTCCGCCTTCCACAAATGTTTAAACCGTTCGCAACAGAGCAAAGCAATCTTAGATGACCTTCCTAACACCAACTCTAATGCTGAGGAAACCTCCCTTATGAATCAGGACGATCAGCAGTTGTGTCTGCTCTGCATACGAGCCAAAATGGCGGCGCCCACAACAATGTCGGGGAACGGAGTGCCGATACTCTAAGCGCAGCTTATTTAGTGGCTCTAGATCAAACCATAGGGGGTGCAGTTTCATTATCGTCATCAACACCGCAAACAATTGCTGTGTGGCAAACAGCTCCGATGCCAGCACTCGCCTAGCGTATGCCGCATTGTTTCCGCACTTGCTGCATGTTTGTTCATAGCAATATGGCAATAGCAAGACTGCAGCACGTACACGACAATACATATCTGCCGTCGGCCCTGGTGCAACGCTGCACTCTATGACATGACAGCAGTTGAGCACGTCCTCTCCTTCAACGAGACATTGCTTGCTTTCGCTGATGTCGTTCATGACTGTCGCAAGAGATAGGGTAACTGAAAAGTGAAGTGCACGTTTAGTGAATCACTCAGAAAAACACAGACGCCGCGCCGGCCACGCACAATCTAACGCGCGCGGCCGACACGACGCGGCTGGCCTGGCACGCCCGCGTGCGACCACACATGTGCTTGTTTTGCCTTCCAAGAGTGCTTCGATGACATTGAATGCAAGAGGGGACTAGATTACCTCCATCTATACTTCGTCTCACCTTAGCACTGACTATTGCTACCCGCGCATGCTAAAAGCGCGAGCTACATGATTTCTTTGGATAAAGCCTCGGGGGCTGCACAAACGCTCGTACAGCGAGTGCTTTGGTCAAAACAGTCAAGGCTGGCAACGCGCGCAACTTTCGCAGTAAGTCCATGCTAAGGTGAGACGAAGTGTAGATATATTTAGGAAAAAAAACTGTTACGTATCTTTCACGGGCCTCGCATTGTCATCTTCCATGGCTGCGAATGCACTAATGACTGCGGTCAGAGGGTTTGTTTGCCACGCAGCGTTAGCTCCCGCGGTGGCCGTTAGGGAACGCCACTTTTCGACCTCCTCCCCAATACGGGACCTTACCGTTAACAGCATTCAAGAGATGGAACTCTCGATGAATTGCCAGCTATGCATGTTCCTACAAACTCTCTAGAGCCTTTAGAATCGGCGAGTGTGCACCCACCAACGACTTCTTTATTTTTTTATTTTTTTTCATGCAGGAACCAAAGTGAAAAGACTTTGCTGCTATCACAATCGCTCGCTTCACTTCTGCATCGGTGCCACGAATCTCGCCCCATCGCTTTATTTGGAACAGTCATGGACCTTCTAATCATTGACGACATAAACGTGCATCTATGTGGAGTAACCCGCCACGTGAACTTTATATAATGCAGTTTTCACGAACAAGTTGCCTCCCCGCTCCCATTGCGAATCTCGAGGGCCTTTCTTGTGACACCTAACTGGAAAACTTCTCAAGTGTGGAACATCTTGTGATGCAATGAAGATAGAGTGGGTGGGTGGGCTGTGCGGTTTACAAATCACCAAAGGTATGTGCATTGCCAACCGTTAGGTTACAGTACGTTGCTTGCAATGGCAAAAAAACTGAAATTGACTGCTGCTTTCAATTATTATAATATATGTACTATATTTTTATAGGGTTCTGCCCTTTTCTGTCAAGCCCATGTGCGAGTGTTTGCAAGCGAAGTGTTCTTATGTGCATTAATCGGACGGAATAGCGACCCATCTCGGGCCTGTTGCGAAGCTGGGCCGAGCTGTTGCGAGCGTTGACGAAGTGGCGACGCATTGCAGTATTCATTGCAAACGATCGGGGGACGACACTAAACTATGAGGTTTAGGAGTTTCCCCAAGTTTTGTTGTTTGCGGGTTCCAAGGGGATCATGAAACGGATTGTGGCAGTGAGCACGAGGTTGCGTAATTTCTACGTCTTCAGTGACCCGCATTGTTGTATGTGGCCATTAGCACTCGTTGCATCCAGGGGTGGATTTAGAGGGGGGGTCCGGATGTCCTGACCCCCCTCTTGATTTCTGCATGTGTAAAATTTAGGGCGTAAAACGAAGGAGGGGGTTCCTAAACATATGGTACGCTGACCGACACCTGACCCCCCCCCCCCCCCAGGAAATTCCTGCATCCGCCCCTGGTTGCATCGTATGAACGCGACTGTCCGACCGCGGAGTGAAAAAAAAAAGTCATACTGGCATTTGTTTTCCCAAAAGCTAGTATGCACACACGAAAACCGGTGCCCGTTTCGTGCTTTCCAATAGACCCTTTTCAAAAGCTTGAGCAGACGCCGGTTCGCCATTGTTTGGTCACACACTTTGAGCATGATTTGGACACGAGGGCACTCATTAGCCGAAACAAAACAATTGTCTTATGGTCCCTTAAGACCCAAACTCCCTTGGTCTTCATGCTTTGTACGCAAGTGGCTGCATATGTATTCAGTGGTGTCGTAGCCTTGAGGCTTTCACGAAAGGTTGAGCTCCATTTTTATATTCATTTGCATACTGCCGTAGCTCGAACGTCAGTCACAGCTCTAGATACTCGCCAGTATGAATACCTGCAGCCCAGAAGTGTGCGCTTATGCAACACTTTCTCGTGCAAATCTGTGTTCAGTTGCACAAAGAATAAACAAAAAAAAGTGGCGCAAAGGTCATCCCAGTACTAAGGGGGACTGATGGAAAGATGCTGATCTGACTTGACGGTCATTCTTGTTTACCTCTTGATATACGGGAACAAAAGCATTTGGTCTTCTGTCATTTCCATATAGTGTGAAGAGAGAATGACTGCCAAGTCAACCTAGCATTTGCATCCTTTTGCTGGTCTTTGTGCCTTTGTTTTTGTGCTTTGCAACATCTACTCGCCTAACTAGAACTTTTTAGCGACATTTTTATGTTTTTTCAGTAAATTAAGGTGGAACCATTGGTAATTGGCATTTTATATGGTGCATAAAAAAGCTTACCAGGCAGTGAAAATGGCAACGGTAATAAAGCTAAAAGACATGCCTTTTTAAGCATGCAAATGCATCTCATCTGCAAGTAAAGCAACATACTTATAATAATTAAATATAAAAAAAAACAATTTTTTTTTTAATGTTAACAATTTTAAAATTCGAAGTTTAACACACATCATGTTTGAAAATATAAGAGTGTGAGCTAATGGTTCTGCAGCACGTCCCATACTACAAGACGACCTCAAAAAGGATTGAGATTGCGCTTTCCCCTTTCAGGAGCGTTGAGAGCCAAGCGTGTACCTATGGATCGGGTTTGGCCACGGAATTTGAAGGGTATCTAGCCAAGCCGAGCCCAGATACAATTTCTGTTCGCTTGTCCAGCGTAGAAAAAAAAAAAGAAATGGGGCAAAGTTTGTCACGCTTTGAGAGTCCGAAGACTACGGCAGATTTCTTGGCTCTTTCTTTTCCCTGGCTTTCAAGACTGCACTGTGATATTTTGAGATTATTTCGAAATGTTTACAGTACCGTATACTTTAGCATCCCCGTCTGTCTTTTTTTCCTGGCTCCCCCTCCCGTCTGATTCTTGCCGACCGCCCCGCGTGTCGGCACTTGCAACGACTGCCACGCCTCGTTTCGGTGGCTTGCTGCGAGATCCCCGCGTTTCTTTGTGTACAGTGCCATCGATCACACGTGCCATGATCTTGAGGGGTGACAAGGCAAGGTTATAGCCTTCCCCTTACGCTCAGCAAAGCTATCTTCTGTCTGGTCGTGAAGGCGTCGGGGAAGAAATTGTCCGACGGTCCGAGTGATCGTTTGGTGCCGAGTCGTGTTACTGGTCAAAGCGTGTTAGTAATAGGCTCTTGCAGGTTAGGAATAGCGGGCTCCTTTCACAAAGCCCTCCACCCTTTCCTCTTCAGCAGAGCAAGTGCTGAAGAGGAGGCGAGTGTAGAGAGCTTTTGTAAGGGGAAGCATGTCTCGCTTTTCTTAACCTGCTATAGGCTACGTTCCTCCGTGCTTGCGAAACACGAGGTTGCATTTCTGTCGGGCCTGCAGTGCAGGCCACCTACACGTGGGGTGAGCGTGCCACTGCCATTTCATTATCGGAGTTTTGCGGCGATTTGACGGTGGCTGCAAAGTGTTTGTAGCCTTGTACCGTTGCGACAAGAAAGTTTTTGTGCGTGCCGTTCAGTGTGCTCAGTGCAGGTCTCTCTGCCTGTCTGTGTTTTCAACTATAAAAAAAGAGTATAAAACTAGCCTCTAGGATTTTCTAAAAAGTAGTGTGCAGATGAAGCGGCAAGGCGTTCCCAGGAGACCGATGTCCGTGGGGAATGATGAAGTGACGGATGTGACAATTGTGAAACGTAGCGGTTAGATTTTGCATACACAGTTCGAAGTGTTTCCTTTTTTCTTTTACTTTGTTATACTTGTACGACCTTCGTTCTATGCAGGGGATGCGTCCTCGTAAGTTTGTGCGTATTGTTGCAGTGGTCGTGCGGCAGGGCAAACATTTTTTTCGAACCGAACTGTCTTCTACTTGAGCAGCGAGCACAATGCACGTTTATTCCTGTTCATGCTGCGTTGAGTAACTCATGCTTTTTATTTATTCATAAGCACACACACTCACATGCACGTGAGAAAAAACAAAAGTACCATTGTTGTAGGAGTAGGATTATTAAAAGTTGTCCCATTTTTACAACTGTGGCGACATGGCCTCGTTTTTTGCTAGATGGTGCACTCTGAACCAACCCGAATTTCGTATGACTCCCAAACTTGCATGACCGACCCTCACAATGCCAACACTGGCACTTGACTGCCTGGGATCCAAGCTAGCAAAAACAGTATACACACTCAATATCACGGTAAATTGCCAAGCTATAGGAACCTATTTGCTGGCAAAACAAAGGTTGGTTAAGACACAAAAAACAGCTTTGACGAACAAAAAGAACAAACACGTTAACGAGCGAGTAAATTAGAGTGTGGCTTAATCATTCCTGTTTGGGAACAAATTGCAAGCTGCAACGGAACCTAATGTGGGCTTTGCTTTGAAAATTACTGCAGTTACTATTACAGTTGCATGTGCATCCATCCTTTGTTGCCACAGGAATTTGTTATTGACCATGCAAGGAGAAGATGGCTACAAGCGAGAAACTAGGGCTTTGCAGATTTCCATTGAAGAGTACCTTAACAGCCAAGCAGCACACAGTGCGATCGAAGGATGCTTAAAATAAGAATTCTCGAAACAACATGGTTTGAATTTTACTAACGGCATATTACTGTTGGCAAAAGACTTGCAAACATTCAAAATGTATTGGGTGCACTATTTAGTAGAAGTTTTTAACATCATTTCATAGTCCCTTCAGAGGTGTGGGATCGTTTGCATATGGATTGCCGGATACCGGCAAAAGCAGCGTGATCAATAGCGCTGCAAGGCCATCGTAACAGAGGCTCTTTTCTGTGCAATGTGCACATGATGAAAGCGGACATTCTGAACACAACACTACTTGTCCAGTTTTAAATGCTTGTGTAACTGCATTTAGGCAACTATACATTGCTCACGGCACTGAACGATTGTGAACACAACAAACTAGAACACTTGAATGCACTTCTCTGTTCCCATTAGTGCAAAGCAATGGTGGTGGTTACGTAAAATGTAAGCTGTGTGCATACCGACTTTGATAAGAGACAAAAGGTCCTCCAGACAGGGAGGCATGCACCATTGCCGCCAGGTGGTGCTGCCAGCAAACAAGGCAAAGACTTTGGCACATTCTAATTTATTGTGTCCACAGCTGTAGAATATGGACCTGCGAGGTTCGAATATTATCTTGTGCGACTACAGTCATGTGCAACAGTTTCATTGTTGAACTTGCGCAGAATACAGAATGGTTCGGTCTGACAATGGGAATATGAAAGTGGCAAGCGTACATACACTTTGCCAGCAAGTCGCTTTTGGCATTGTTATGTGTTTTGATTTCCCAAACCTTTACTGCCGAAATGGTCTCTGCCCATGTCTTTGTGCTCCAAACATTTGCCAAATCACTGAATAAATAACACACACTCAAAATAGACCGGAAACGATAAAACCGGCACATCAGATAGCCACTCCTAGCGAGCATGATGTTTATAAAATTATGCTCGCAGTTGTGAAAACATACAACTTCACCGGGCACTTTGGAGTAGTCACGATAGCAACCCAAACATCAAAGCTCTTAGATGATTGACAGGTTGAACATGACCGCAAGGTGTCAATTAGTTGAAGATATTTTCAACCAAATATTTTCTCATGATTTGCCAGTTATGGTAACCATGAAGAGCATTGTCGATCATTACATCAACAACTGAAGAACGATGAACTATCTTTAAATCGCTCCTCAGTTGTTGATGTAATGCAACTATTGACTATGCTCTTCATGGTTACCACAACTGGCAAATCATGAGAAAATATATATAAAAAAAAGCAAGTCATAAGGAAAGTTGTATTTGCCCCATTACTGTATAGTACTACTGCAATAAATCAAACCCATTAAAATTTATTGCTCGCAGTTATTTAAAAATATTACATGCCGAACATTGCATTACTACATTGCCAGCACCTTAGAGATGCGTGTCTTCTGCCCATAAACATACGAAAACCGATTTAAAAACAAACAAAACAATTTCTCAATACCACCCGACAGGCGGGAGGCCGATGTAGTTACGACATTGAATGCCTCCCGCCCCAGTGTCACTCACGGAAGTACAGCGCAAATGTATAGACCGACACGCTGTTTAGAGACAAGCCCGCGTTTGCCCACACCAGGTGTGGGCACTGCACGAGCGCAGAATCCAAATTCACATGAGGTGAAGCTTCTGCGCAGGTGCCGTGGCGACAACAGCGCCACCGCACAGGCGTGATGTCAGAGCCGCGTGTTGGTCTATAGACAACTTGGGCATGAACGGAATCACAAAGCTATACAAAGAAATCCACTGTGCTGAAGCTTGATCTCAGGACGCAAGGACCTCTGCCAAGCCAACCATACCATTCCTCTCCTTCCTTCCTCCCTCCCTCTCTCTCTCTCTCCCCCCTCTCCTCCACCCGAATACGCCATGAATAACGCGCTCAAATATGGCACCCAGTGAATACCTTATATAAATGACCTAATGCTTGCGGCACATAAAATACCGGCGTGGCTGCGAATGACATTACGGGCAAACTATCGTACGGTGCACAGTCCTTGGATATTGCTATTAGGCGAGATGGTCACGCGTTGACGCCAGAAAGCGGCAACGCTCGCAACTACTGTATGTACCCTTGGCCGTGCAGAGGCCCTTGATGTCACGAGCGCGATGCACATTGCTCTTCTCGCTGGCTGATTTTGAAGTGAAAGGTAGACAGCTCGTGGCCACGTCATTTCGTTTCCGTACCCCTTGAACTAGTAATATTACCGTATTTACTCGCATATTGGTCGATACGTCGTATAGGTCGACCTCCTAACTTCGGGACCCCCGAAAAAAAAAAAAAGTTGAAAAATATAATACCGGGATTCACGTATTGGTCGACCCCCCAGTTTTGATGAGGCGATTTTTGAAAAACAGGTCGACCTATACGCGAGTAAATACGGTAATTTCTTCATAAACCCATAATCCACAGAGTAAAATGAGCATGGTTTGATGAAACTGCGACGTCTCTCTGGAACTGTCCCGGCAACAATTAGAGAAAAATCTTATTCCCATAAAGGCGCCGTGCAACAATGTTTGAACTTAGGTCAAATAATCGTGGTAGTTGTTTCCTTTCATATCTGGAATAAAGAACTATGCGTGTTGGTTGTTTAGAAAAAAAAAAAAAAAAAAGTCAAACAAATGACATTTTCGGTGCCTCAAAGCCACTTTCAACTCGTATACCGTCTTCTGAGTCACGTGCGCAGTGACGCGCTTTGGTGATAGGAAGGATCAGGTTGGATTCTCTTTCCGAGCCTCCAGTGCGCACTGCCTCTGCTTGCGGTTTACACGACGACCTTGAAGGTTGGCCTGAGCGATTTGAAGAGGGGGAGCAAAGTGCTTGCTTTTCCGTAAGGAAGTGTGACTGACTTAGTCGCACAATGGGGGAAGCTCAAGGGAGGAATAGCTTTAAGGCAAAAGCCTTAGATGCCCCATTTCGCAAAAAAAGGGCGGTGTTGTGCCCAAAAGATGGTCACACCAATACGTTATAAAGCACATGCTTTAGAAATAAAACAAAGAAAAGCACAGCGATGCAGGTGCATCGTCACGGAAGCCGGCGGGGACGCTCAAGGTGGATGTGCCTCAGAAATAAAACACAAAGACAAGCACAGCCACACAAATGCTTTGTCACGAAAGCCGGCGGGGTTTGCCGCACCTGCGGTATGGAGGAGCGTGATGTCACCACCGGAGCACCGTGTGAAAAAAGAAAAAGTAGCACACTGCTTGTAGGAATGCTTTCGCATTCATACACGTAAACAGTATTAAGTGTCTCTGCCGAATTTTTTTTCCACCTCGGGCAGTTGGTGTTACTAAAAATGAATATGGTACAACTTTGTCAATCATATTTGACGCATTTACTCATGTTGAAACAACAATATTGATCAAACATAGCATGAGATTGAGCACATAATGGCACATCTCATCAACTCATTGCATTATAACCATTGTGCATCACACCTTAGTTTACATGAACGCCACCCCGTGGCTGCAAATCTCAAAATATTCCCATTCTTTTTCTTGCTATTATGCAACAGAATCGCAATATTTCAAAAGAATCGGTCAGTTTCTCTATTCCTTTTGGTAAGATAAACAATGTAAAACTTTAAAACTGCACATTCTTTCGAAGATTGCTGCATCACCTCTTTAAGAACCCTCCATACACGGTACATCCACAGCACTTCTTACACCTCCTAATCTTTCACTCTGTAATCTAGACCAGCCCAGCAGAAGGCTTCGAAGCGTTCGAACAACCAAGTGCACATATGCCACTCGCCCTCAGTTTCACATTATTTTATGACGTCTAAAGCATGCATTATAGCCTTTAATGACCAAGCATGACGCGGCTTGGGATTTTGTCCGATGCCACCAATGATCGACGCAACGACCCAGCCGGTCTTCGAGGCTCACAATGTCTGCAGGCAGATGTTGCTGAACACCATGTTGACACCGAGTGCCGTGCCGCGCTGACGCCATTCTCTGAAACATTGTCCACGGACACAAGCGTCGGTGCGAAACTTGAGATGCTGCAGTGTTTTCTCCTTTCAGGTCTTTCACCTGCACAATCTTCCAGCGACCGCCTACCAGCGAACGTAGATGCGACTGCCATCCATGATGTCGTAAAAATGGAGGCTCTGGCGCTCTTTGTTGAATATGCTCTCCTTGCCTTGCTGCAAAGGCGAAGTTCATTTGACATAGCATTAGTGTTGTGAGTCGGGAGCCAGACTGGTCAGGATTTGAGCTGCCGAAAGCAGTGTTGAAGCAGCTTTGACACTAGAGAAGAACCTTCTGAAGCAGTTTGGCGGTGACACAAACCTTACACCAGGGGTTCTCAAGCTGGGTTCCGTGAGATAGTCTCATGGGTTCTGCAAGCACCCAAATTGCAGTGCCTCCCCTCGTTGTTTAACCTTCCATAAACTGAGCCATGAATTGAGCTGGTGTTGCGGACGAAGTAACCTCACCCTTTGCTCTAATATGTTGACATACATTTCACATTGTGCCCCAGGTTACCAGGTTAACCCCTCTGCCGTCTTATTCTGTCTGTAGTCCTTCATTTTGCTCTATTCTGTTAGTGCAATAAACTCTTGTTCACTATCAAAACACCTCTATTGCCCAGTATTTTCGATTGGCAATAAGGGAGGGGGTGTTCCTTGGGACCTTTCGAGGCTTTTTGGGTTTCCCTGGGACGGAAGAGTTTGAGAACCCCTGCCTTAGACCATGCAAGTACACCATCTTAAGCAGGTTAATTGCAATCATCGCACTATTTTCAAGACTAACGTTTTAGATTGTCTAATTACAGTGGAATCTCGTTGATAAGATTCGGCATAATACGTTTTTCGGTATAATACATGTTTTTCTTCATTCCCGGCAATGTATTTCGATACGGACATTACAATCATATTTTTGCTTGAAATCAGATAATACAACTCCAAAGCGGGTTCTCACGGGCATTTAAAAAAAATTATGCCTTTACATCCCAGTATACATACTGGAATCACAAGCTCAAATCACATTCTAACGAGCCACGAACGGCTCGTTGTGCGGTCACAGCAGGGCAGCCCCAGTTAATGCTGGGGTGTTCCAACATGGCCGCCCAGTCTGGCGTCGCGGTTTGCCATCAAGCGGAAAGTAGCGCACTCTGGTTTCACGTGGTTGGGTGTGCGTTGCGCCCGGTAGGGAGCGTTGGCGGTGATGACCGCCTCAGCCACCTCTTGCGCGCTTTTTTCGTCTCCGTGCATTTTCTTTCGTTTTCTGAGTGCGCTCTCACTTTGTCTGTCTGTTCTCCGGCGCGTTCGCTGGTGCACAAGCGGGAAGAAATCCGCAACAAGGTGCAAGTCTTTGGCGCGAGTGTCAAGCAAGCGAGAGGTGCGGAGCATGCACAGATGGAAGAGGTCCTCGTGGCTTGGTTTTAACAAGTACCAGCAGCAGGTGTGAACAACGACGGTAAAGTTCTCCGCGAAAAGGCCGATGAGAACGCAAGCTGGCCAACCAAACTGCGGATCTTTTTTTCTTTTTAGCTTTTAAAAGAATTTGTTAATCGATATTGAAAAGAAGAAAACCGAAACCAAAGTGACCGACTACTTCAAGGCTGCTGAATAAAAACAAGTTTATCACTGAGTATGCTTATTTTATCACATTTTCTAGCTCATTTCGGATAATACAATTTTCGAGTAGAACGTGTTATTTTTCGGTTCCTGTGAAAATCGTATCAACGAGATTCCACTGTACTTGACCCCAAAAGTAATCAACTTGATCCTTTGATATCCAACTTAATAAAAAGTAACTTGTAATCTTCTAAAGTTACCATATCACATATCCCAATAAAAATAAGACTACTAAACCTCGAGAAGCAATTTTTTATGTGAAATCTTATTGCTTATAGGCAATGAGCATGTTACAGATCTGTTAGTAGCTGGACATCTTTCTTGTAAGCAATACTGTAAGCAATACTGTACTATTAAGGGAGGCAACTGCCTCTGCTCCAAGAACATAGCTTCTTCTAGAGCGCAGCTCTTAGGCGCCCGTTTCCGGGTTGAGCGGCATCGCCGTTGCAGTATAACCGTGCAAGTTGCATTGTGGGACGTCACAGTTTCCCCGCTAAATTTAGCAGGGAAACTTAACCCGCTAAATTTATCGAAAAAAAATTTGCTAAATTTAGCGAGAAAAAATTCGCTAAATTTAGCGGGAAATTTAGCAAACATTTCCCGCTAAATTGGAGGGGAGAAGGATGGGAGGGTACAGAGGGGCATACCCTCCCCTCCTCCTCCTAAAGAGTTGTGCTCTAATTTCGCATTAAAGAAAATTGTAAATGTCTCATTTTTATTCTATTAATCGCCACCCTTATCCAATCAAATCTTTATACCCTCTTACATTTACCATGCACACTTCAGAATTCGAACCCTAGAAGCACTTGATACAGTCCCCACTTTTGTCCTAGTTCTTTGGTGTTGGGACAGCACATGTGAAGTTGCGTGACGCATGGCACCGAAATAGGCCTTGCATTTCCACTTCGCTTTTATGTCGAGCGACTAAACGTAAGTAAAGATAATTGGCTGGTGCGTCGGCTCGAATGTGAACATTATTTTTCCGTCTTGCACTCCAATGGCACGCACACGCACATTTCACCACACTAATAGCAGTTTTGATACCAGGTTTTTCAACAGCTTAAAAAAAAAATGAGAAGAGTCCGAAATCACAATCCACTCTGAACAAGCTTGTGGCATAGTATGGTTAGATGTGGTAGCATAGTTGCTAGCAGAGCGTGCTCTTGCAGTCGGTCAGAGGTTCGAAGTGCCGCCTCACCTCGGAGTGGGCGAAAGACAGACGAAGGCGACTGCCTTTCCGGGGGTACAGCTGCATCACGACTGCTTTCAGCTTCTCGACCGTCATGGAGACTGGAAGCAACAAAAATGAGGCAAATAATGAGAAAAATATAGCAATCGTTGGCGATTGCTATACACACTAATGTTAGATGCACATGTGTGGGTGAAATAGGCATGGCAATGTTATGTACACATGTGTGAATAGATGAAGGGACAATGTTAGATGCACATGTGTGAGTGGACAAGAAACAACAGAAAGGCAAGCCGATTCTTGACAATAGAAATGAACACTGTTTGACGAGCATGAGCAAAAGCTGAACTCTGACTTTGCAGATGAGAAGCACAAATTATATTCAGTGACTACCTTTTATCTTTTGATTAGGGGTGTGTGAATATTGAAACTTTTGAATACGAATCGAAGATGATTAGAAAAAAGAAAATAGCTTCGAATATTGAATATGTTTCAAATATGTTTGTACCATTAAGAAATAACAAAATAAGGTATGTGAATACATTTTTTATTACCTTCAAAACCGAAAATGACGTTAAGAAATTCAAGTAAATGAAACTACCCAACTAGGCAGTGTATAAACAATGCAACTGGTAACACAGCAATTGTTTAACTGTACATGAAAGGAGGCAAACGGTGCCACTGATAAGGTAAACAAATTGACAAAATTAAGAGTGCACAAAACTGCACGTCTAGATGGCAGGTAAAAATGCAACCTGCATGTTGTCACACAAACTGGTATGTGACCTTTATTTAAGAAAACAATTGAAATTGCTCTCAACTAGCCAGCAAGTCAGATATCAGCAGCTGCTAAGGTTGCTAGAAAAGTGACTTGCAATGCAGGCTGAGTGAAACGAAAACCAAAACTGCTCCTTTGTCATGAGCTAATACCATACTGTGTTTGCACGATTCTAATGCACATCTTCTTTCGCCAAAATCGGTGCCTAAAACTGCATGCACGTTACAGTCAACACCAAAAACCAAAAAAATCACGCAATACTTGGTATAAGGTGGCTAGCCCTCTAGCTAGCCCCATCACCATCGTGACCGTTTGTTTACATTTGCTATTCTGGTATCCGTATCACGCGCTTTCTCTCGCGTCTATGAACTCGTGTCCGACCTTTTAAGGTGGAGAACCCACAAGAAATCCCACTCAGCAGCTTTACTTAAACAAAAGGACAACAACGGAGCAGCACTGCGCGACCTCGCAATCCCAGTGACTCGACGAGCTCGCAAAGTACTGTTCGGAAGACGACCCTCCCAGAGGCGACGGTCGCACACTTGTACAAGCCCTAGAAGTATGGCACTTAAACTGCTTTAGACAAAAGCAAGTATTAATTACCTCTGTGGACAGCGAAGAACCATCGTCGGACTCTGACAACGGCGACCAGTGCACGGCATCTATTTTTATGTTGGTGCGAGTTTCATAAAATCTGTTCTGTGAGGTATGCATTCAATCTTCATTTTTCTACCTGTGCGGTAGAATCTGCAGCCATTCACAGCGAAATCTGCCTGCGCGTTAGAATAGGGGGTGCATTTGAATCGTGCAACACGGTAGTTCTACTTATAACGTAAATGGTGGGAATTTAAAGATATGGCTACAAGACCCGCAATTTTCAGCGACTAAATACTGTTTTTAAAGAAAGCTCTGAATGTTCAGGGCATGTCCCACACGCGGAGTTTTAGCAATTTGCCCGAATATTTGGCCATAACCGGATATTCAGAAATCTCCGAATATGCAATTCTCAAACCGAATATGAATCGAATAAGAAAAATATTTGATTCATATTCAAAATCTCGAATATTCACACATCTTATTTTTGATTGACCGCTCTCCTTGGTATTGAAGAGGCTGTGGCTCTTCGAGAAGTGCTGGCCACAGATCCAATGAAGTTCGCCTTTAACACTTTATTTTGAAGTGCGGTGCACGCAGTGGCATTACAAAAAGAAGTCCTCACCAGGAAGTCTTTTCCGGATTGAACCCTTGTCCGGATCTTGAGGTGCCACAATTTCCACAGCTGATGCGGTTGTCAGGAATGTAAGCAGGAGCACTTGGCATTTCACACTTCTCCCATTTCTCGCCGTAATCGGTTGTCCTCTCACACAATCACAGCACGCAAGATTAATGCCCACATTTTTCAGAGCCCTTAAAATGACTAAGTACTTTGCCTGTTCTTGTTTCGAGCTAGTATGGCAACTTGGGTTGCCCCAGTCATCCAGAAACTAATGTGCACAAATATATTCAGTTAGAATTACCTAATGAATGTATATTTGTGTAATGGCCACAGGTTTTTTTTCTCCAGATTTAGAGTAAAAAGTAAGTGCAATATTACACACACAAAAAAGTCTTCTTAATTTACTTTTTTTAGGTTGGAAGTCAAACCATCTTTTGTTAAAGGGCAACTCCGCTCAATTCCGAAAAATTCAGGCTTACATGTGATTCCATTTCATAAAGCACTACTTAACAGCTCTACGTCCTCGGATTCGTGAAATGTGGAATATTATTTGTGCAATCTTAATTTAAACATCAGCTGATACCGAAACCGAAACTTCGGTTGCGTCAGGCACCGTTGGTCTCGTGTCGTCAGAGTCATGGCCACGTCACGTCGAACCACGTGGTCTTGTGATGTTCGTGGGGGCGAGGGACACGCGACACGGGCAGGTCGCTTCGCATGGCGTGGACGGTATGTCCCGGGGGAGAGGGGGAAGAGGAGAAGACGAGAGAAGAGAGGGGGAGCGGAGAAATAGACCGATAAGTGCGCAGGGCAGCGCAAACTAGCGCATCCGCGTTACAGTGATCACGTGGACGCCGTTCAGCCAACACCGGGAGGAGAAACTCATGACGTCATTGTTCAATTTTGCTCTGAGAAGTAAAAACAAACAAAACGTGAGGATGACGTAGACATGCCTCTGACGTAGTGGCTCGATGTTGGCCGCTCCAACTCTGTCGCATTGACTGCGCTGACGACTGCGCCTCACGTCGCACGCTAGAGTTGGCAGAGTTCGGCGACTTGGCTGATTTGAAAGTTTGCTGGCCAGTTTATTAAATACATAGACGGCATTAGATTGTAATATTTGACATGGGGGCTTCCTATATGATAGTGAAGAGGGCTACATAGTTTTCTAAATATCAAAAATGAAGCGGAGTTGCCCTTTAACTAGAACAAGCCGCACATGTCGAAAAAGCTTTGAAATGCGAGCAACGTTTTTTCATAGTCCTCCCGTAGCTGCTGACACATCGTTGTCCGGTAGGGGTCAATAGGTTCTTCCGCATCATAAAGTGTCGAATCCACCATTGCTGGCTTTGAAACCGTGTCGGGAAGTCCCTTGCTTCATGCGATTTCGAGAGCTTTCAAGCACAGCATCTTTGTCAAAACCGTGGATGTCTGTCACATACTGAAAAAGCAGATCTTTTGCTTTGAGGAACATGGTTCACTTGCCTCGGAAAGAGTGCTCTCCTCTCTTAGTCTTTCCCAATGCATCTCTCGACCACACCGACGACTTACACATTTTTCATCAACGCCGAACTTTCATCCGGCAGCTGTCTTGCCATTTTCTTTTGTGAACGCAACAATTTTTAGTTTAAAGTGGGCTGTACAGCTGGCGTACGTGCCCATCGAGGAGGCTGAGGTAGGCGACAGTCGCAAAGGCGCTAACTAAAAAGCTGGCTCCGATTGCAAGTGCAAAAATGTGGATGACGATGCAAGAGAAGAGTTGCAAACAAGAGAACTCGAAGTGGGAACGGTAGAGAGGGGAAGGAACGGTGCAAAGAGTGTGCCAAAAGCACAGAAGTAGTTGAAAGGTCGTTTTAGAGTTCTTGCGGCCCAAGGCAGATGGCTCTTTCAGCCTTCCAAAATCACTAGTGCGGCCTATGCACGAGTAGTACTTGAAACTATTTTTTTCCTGACTTTTCTTTTCAAAGTTGGAAGTGCAGCTATTGCACAAGTGTGGCCATTACATGTGTATGTACTGTATACCAGTTCCCTCCAGCTTGACTGACCTAACCACAGTCCAAACAGTTGTGAGCGACCCATTGTTGAACAGTAATCTGATTCCAGGCAAGCACCACAAAATCCAATGCCCCGGCTGGCTGCAATGGTGATGTCGCATGATACCAATGAGTGTAGGCCTTGGACAACGTGATACGGCCATCTTAACTCGAAAGGATACTGATAAGTTGATTCTTGATGTTGGGTTGCACCGCATTCTGTGAGCTTTCAATCGGTGCCCCATAGACTGAAATGCAATCAAGAGATTCTATGATGAGCACGCTGCAGGGACCACATAAAAATATCTTTGTCATATTTTTTTTATACTGAATGTGTGAATAGACAGAAACTTCCCCCTCAAGTACTCTGCGCCTCTCTCTTGCTCTCTTTCTCTCCCTATAACACGTTTTCCTGTTGGGCAAAATTGGTATGAGAAAAAAAGTAGAGGAGGTACCTCTTTTGTTTGCCATTGAGGTCATTTCTAAACGTCCAAGTAACTTCATTTTATTTTTTGTGAAGAAAAGCGGTGTGGGACTTACTACAACACATAAAAATGAAGCAAATTCGTCTTTCCTTCCGAGAGAAAAAAAAACATTCTACAAACTTCTTGCATAATTATTAGTCTTTTCTTTGCTGGAGAAATCTAATGCTACCCTTTTCTGGCCTTACTCTTTCCGCTCAGCAAAGGGCACTGCACCACAGCTGGCATCATCAATTGCAAGCTTGGCTACCGACTTGTGAGAATAAGCCGACAAAAAGACGCCATAAAAAGCGTCCAAAACGACCTTCTAACACACTCAGAGTGGCAGTTAAAATCAGGCTCCTCAGAGTTTGACAATGTGCAATTTGAAGTTTCTGTGTGGTAGGACTGCACGGCATGCCAGATCGAATGCCAGACTGGAACGCGAATCTTCAAACGTTGGCACGCGCATCTTCTCGAAATAAATGGATAAATTGAAAGCTGAACCCACTCTTGAGAAGAGCGCGGAACCTCGGGTGGAGCCTGGTGAACTCTGCAGTGGGCGTGCCCTCCCCCTCGGGCGTGCCTCCGCACTGGATCCAGAGGGGGAAGACTCGGTTCACGTAGAACAGTCCAGCCTCTCTACGCTCCATCTTGCTGATCTGCAGACGTCCAAAACGGAGAAATTTGAACGTACGACCGGGGACGAAACGAGCATGTTTGAAAGAACGCACTACCGCAGGGCCTAGACGCTCTTTCCGAGTTCATGCCTGTTACTTCGCATTAAAAAAAAAAAAAAAAAACAGGCCGGGAAACAAGCCAGTGAGATTTCCAGTACCAGCCTCAACAGTAACCGACCGAGATGTAAGACTAGGGAAGAAAGAAAAATGCTGGTTCTTACTGTCGCACTTACAATGTACTAATAAGATTAAACTCGAAAGGAACACGGGACAAATGAGACAATTATCAAACCGATAGAGTTAAGCTCCTTAACACAACTACAACTGTCACTCTGAAGTTTAGTAAAAAAAAAAAAACAAAAAAAAACAGGAATTGATGCGGTATGTACTCAAGCACGTTCCTAAGATGCAATCTAATAGAGTGCGATACTTCAACACCGAACAAACCATTAAAGGGACACTGACACATCAAAATCATATATTTTTTTTTTATTATCTGAAACGATTGAAAACGATGCCGGGACATTACCCTCAAAATTCGAAAATTAGGAATTCAGTATTTGTTAAGTAAAAAAAACAATTTCCAAACACCGAATTCAAAGTTCCCGCAACCAAATACCGAGTCCTGAAAGTCCGCTTTCTTGCATGACTCCGTGCTGTTGCCACCGCGACCCAAAGCGAGGAGGAAGGGAGTGGGAGAGATAAGGGCGCCGGATGACGGTGAAAAACCGGTTTCTTCGTCCAGTTCCCCGACCCAACTATCATCCTCTGCTTGAGCGCCGCCAAGTTTTCCGAGGGAGGGTACAAATCCAGGAGGCGACATCACAAAGGACTCTGATTTTTGGTACTTCAAAAAGAAGGGCCGTAGAGCGTTCGCAATTGCGTTAAAAAAACATGTTTTACGATTGCCGTTTTTAAATGTTATAGAAATGTCGCCTATAAAGCTTCCAAATTTCATGCTTTTTGACGTCACGAATCAAAAGAGGCGAGGAGACGAAAAGCAAGAGAGAAAAGCGCCAAAAATTAAAAGGTGCGCACGTGCGTAGAAAAATTGTTTTTTGTGATGCGTTTTTTTTGCGTGTCTATGACTACAACTTGCATCGTTTTAGACAATAAAAAAAAATATGACCTTTGGGGTGTCAGTGCCCCTTCAAGAGTGGAACGTTCCACTCTTAAAGCCAAAGCTTAAGCGCCATCCAAAATTTCCTCTTGTCCTTAGGGACAACTCATTTTACGGATGGTTTCTTCTTAGAACAAAGGCAGCCATAGAGTCACGACTGTACAGGCATCGTTCCGAGGACAAGTCCATACCAGTCGAACTGCATGCGTGTGCAGAGTGGCACCCAACCCAGAAACGCTTCTCTTCGCGGAAGTCGAGCAAAGAGCGACAGCTTACCTCCGTCCTGTCGAGCAACTTGAGGTTCCCGAGCTGCGCCAGCAGGAGGGAGCGTGTCACGTGACGGCGCTCCCGCACCGTGACCGGATTCCCGTTGACGATGAGGTCGTCTAGCCGGGCAAGCTTGTCCAGTTCCACTAGGCTGCTCCACTGCATATGCAATGCCGCCCTCCTCAGCAACACTTTGTCGATGAAGGACGAAGTTTGTGCGACAGTCAGACGGTGTCATGAAAACACAGAAGCCAAGTTTCAACAGACAATGTCTCGAAGGTTTGGCATGCGGTGCTCGTTAACCCTTTGACGATCGTCGCCGTGTGCGTGCGGCGGCAATTACGCGTACGAAAGTGCCCGGCTAAACTCGAAACCAGAGGAGGTGTTGCTGTTTCTTAATGTCTTCAGCAAACTATAAACGTTATGTTCCCATGGTGTTTCGATTTGCCGGGGTTTAGTTTTGGAATCGGACGCTTCGCGCCGGTGGTACACGCGGGACAGTCACTTTGGATGTCAACTTGCACGACGGCAGTGGCAACTGGAGTGCTGGCTCTTCTGATTCAGACTTTTGACGCTTCTCAGAATTGGATTCGGAGGACGAGAGCTTACCGTCCGACGGAGAATCTCTGTGAAGCACCTCCGGTACGAAATCCGACGTCCCAGAACGTCGTGGGAGCACATACGCGCCGCAACGAAATCGAACGCAACAAAGGCGACAAATTTTTCGTATTCAATATTTTCATTCAATGCTTCTAAACCTGAGTAACTTGCAAGCACTGTTCATGCTCCTACTAGATTAGGAGTGGCCACAGAGACATGAAAAGAATCATAAAAACGAAGCGTTTTAAGTGAAGAATCAAACCAAAATAAAAAAATGCAATGTTTTTTGTTGTTTTTTTAAATTTTATTTTATTTTGGCTAGCGGTTTTAACGGATTCCACTCGTAAAGCAATTGCTCATCATGTTTCTTTACTGCACATCCTTATTCGCTAAGAAACGAACCTCAAAGTCCGACTCGAATGACACCGCTGCAGTCCTGAGCAGCTGTATGCATAGTACCAGAAAGCTGCCGAAACGCAAGACGTCTTTTATTTTGCATTTCTCTCCGAGGGGAAAGGGGGGTACGTTTTCATTTTGGAGTTTCAGGCCGCACTTGGACCCACGAAGAGCTGCATGCGGCGCAGTTTGGCCACTCCTTCGCTAAATAATTTAGAAAAAAGCTTGCGTACTGACTGTCTTTATATACAATTCTTTTGGAAACAAAAGCCTACCACCAAAAACCTTTCCTTCTTAAAAAAAAAAAAACTTGATTATCATAGGGTGAGAAGCACGGGGGCAATCGGTAGCCAAGAACGCTAACGCACCGCAGCTCGATGCATGTGGAGTGAAACCTCGTTCTCGTCGTCGTCCGCATCGTACCCGCGTGCGACCGTGTATCCCTACTGCGTGAGGTACGTCCAAGACGCCAGGTTAGCGGTTGTGCCGTGCTGGCCGAATTTCTCATCTACCGTAGAGACACCAGTCGCCCACTGGGGCAGATTAAGTTCCTGCTATCTAAAATGCACAACACAATTAATTGCGATATTAAAGTTTTTTTTTTTTTTAGGCATTACAGATGTGCTTATTAACTTCTTAATTAGTGGAAATTGAAATCTGGTTTCAGTTTGAAACTTTATGAGTGTCATCAAAAACCGCTGAATCAGTAAATCTTAAAAATATGTGGGCCACGTGGGAAGTGTGGCGGTGCACTCTTATTCGCACCGCCAGCCTTTTACTTGTTCCAGGAGTCGTATAGAAACACATGTTTGTTTTCACCAATCAAAAAGTTAGTGAACGTGTTTTAGTTCATTATTGGACGTATTGTGACGATTAGCCCCCTATATTTGCCCCCTGGCCGTATAATTTACCTTCACAGATCAAAATAGCGCAGCTGTTGCATGTCTTTTTTAAATGCATCTGTAAATCCAGAAAAAAATATAGCGCCCAGTATTTCAAAGACAAAATAAATACTGCATTTTGTTGTAGTTAGAAAGTGAAGAGAAGAGGGTCGTACTCACTTCTTCTAGCCGGTTGTTCCTCAGGTTCAGGGCAACCAGGCTGGCAAAGAGAGGAGTCTTCTCACCCGGTGCAGTTTCGGGAAACGCGATGCTGGTCAGGTCGCAGTCTGCCAGTGTCAGCTGCTCCAACCTTTGCGGAAACGCAAGGAGGATCCCGGTGTCACTTGGGGGACGCTATGACGGATGCGTGGAAGTAGCCGCACCCACTGTATCGGATAAGACTATGCACTATGTGCAGACTGTCAAAGGCGGGGCCGCACAACGCAGAAATGGTGCAGACTAAACCGAATTTCGCTTGGAAACTCGCAGGCCGCCACCTAACGGGAATAGCTGTAGCTTCTTGTCGTGGACAGTCCGACAATGTCCAGAATCATCGAGGCTTGCCTCTCTTCTTAACGCACTTTAGAATGTCGCATCTACCAAGGAATTCCCTAAGGTGGCTCTGCATTCACGACAAAAAGTGGCAAAAGTGCTCAGGAGCAGAATATTTTACGATTCGAATTTATCCGAGAAATTTTGTATTTCGGGGTTGACCGATCGGGAGAATGTGGCCATGCTCCCGAAATAAATAAATAAATAAATAAATGATTAGGATCATATCAAATGCTCTGCTCCGTAGGCGATAACCTACTACTTCCCGCATTATAAAAAGTGGAGTATTATTCTCGCCAATCGCTCGGTACAAAGGCGTTTCCATTTTGTGGGATACGGCGAGCAGCATTTCCGCCCGTTACGACGACCTATTTCTCCGCAGGTTATGAACATGCACTTTGTAAAGCAGCCAGACAAGTCCAAAAATTGTGTCGATTTGGAAGGTAGGACTTCACGATGCCCGACTCAGCCGACGTGAAAATTTGCGTTGCTCCCTGTGGCACAACGAGACCAGATTTCCAGAATGTTTGTGCACGCGATTGATGGCAACACACTAAAGCTATGTTTTCGCACAGATTGTGAACGTCGGCAAACAACTTTATGGTGTGCAATACAATGTAGACCGCATATAACGAATGTCGCGGGAGTCGCGAAAATCCGCACTATAAGCGGTATCGCGTTATAACCAAAACATCAATTTTTCAGGCCGAAATACATGCCATGAGACAACTTACCTTTGTAAAAGAATTTATTTTATGTTAGATGAAAAATAAAGCTTAGTTTGAGGAAAGTCCTTATTTCACCAGACTAGTAAACTTCTCTCTCAAGTGTGTCACATATTTTGAAAGAAATGAGTGACTTTTGCCTGGTGTAGCCTTTTAACGGCGTCGCGGGTTGCGGACGGACGTTGCGAGCGTTCAGGATTGCTAAACTAATCACTTTTCTCCGGTGATAAAAATGCGTCAAAATTCACATCCATTATACGGTACGCGCCAGTAATACCTTCAACTCTAGCACATTCATGAAATGCTCCAAATAAGAAATCCGGGCGATGTTTGAAAACACAAATGCCTAGAATGCACCACTGAGTAAACAAACACGACGACATGGGCGTTTCTGCTGTCTTGAGAGTGCCGCCACGACATCGCCGCACGAGTAAGTGGATCTTCCCTTCTAGTACGTGCTGGGTTATCATAGCGACACACAACGAAAATTCAGTCAAGGATAGCGCTTTTACGCGGAACGATGAGCTTCCACCACGCCATCTACGTCGACGATCACAACCGACGCCGTGTTTGCGGATAGAAGAAGCCGGCCCGCGACAGGCATGCAACGCGCACAAACACTTCTCCTCGACCTGCGATTGGGCTGTCGTTGCGGTTGTCTCCAACGCAGCGGAGGCAGCGGAGGGACGCACGCACGTGAACGACATGTGCGTGCGTCCCTCCATCGCTATGGCAACTGAAGCCTCTCTCTTCGCTTCTCCCCGCTTCTCCGAGCAACCTCCTTGACCCGCGAGTGCCGCTTGCGGCTAGCGCCGTCAACTAGTGTCGCACAGGGAAGCGTGCTCGCTGCACTGGTCGGTCGGCGCGGTCGGCGGGCTGTTCCAGAAACCGCACTATAACCGGTATTTCCCTTCGCGCGCCTGCATTTTAAGCAATATGTAAATACATGGAGTTCTATGGGAGGCGAATCGGTGGTTCAGAAGAGCCGTGTTATACCCGGTCCTGCACTATAAGCGGTTACGTTGTAAGTAGTCTATACTGTAATACAAGTGTGTCTCTTCCTAAATCAGTTTAGTTGCGGCTTTTTGGCGCACTTGGGTACGATGCGTTTTGGGCTAGTGACCTGAAGTTTATGTGGCACCGCAGGCCATATGTTGTGCAGCCCTAACATAAGAAAAAACACTTTTTTTTTTTTCAGTCAAAATTTGTTTCTGCAGATTATCAGTGGGTGCGGACTTTCGTGCAGAAAATATGGTGGTCCCTGGCCCGAATAAACGTGCCATTTTCTTTAGGGTAACTATCAGAGGCTCCCTGAGCCGGGAGGACCTCCCAAAGGCAAGGAGGACTCACTTGGGAAGGTGTCCGAGCTTGCAGACGGTGTCCCAGGAGGCGATGGGGTTCTCCTGCAAGGACAGGTGCCGCAGCTGGCCGAACAGCGAGTCGGGAGGGGTCCTTAGCACGTCGATGCCGTTCAGGGACACCACCAGGTCCTCCACCCAGGGCCACATTTCGGCACAATGCAGAACCTGAGGGTGGCAGTCACGTGCAAAACGTGAATCCACGCTCCCAGCCTGGATCCCCCCCTTACACAAGCAAATGTGCGATGCATCACAGTCTCTAAAACAGTGAAAAACGAGCTTACAGTCTATGAGAAGGACACATCCGGCGCCACTCCCCCGGGAAAGCTGTCAGCGGCTGAAATATTTCTGGTTTTGGCCCAATAGAAAGATTCTGAGGGAGTGGCACCGGATGCCACACCCCCCCCCAGAGGCTTTGGTCTCCTGACAGACATTTTTCAAACAAAACATGAAGAAAAAAACGATATCGCCAGGTGTAGTGTCAGCTACGCCTGGTGATCTGTGACCGGGATCATAACCCAGGATTGCATAACCGCCGACACTATGCTCGGCGGCTATGCAACACTTTCTTTTATACTCTTTGCTGACAATTTATTTTTAAGTTTGCATCAGCTTCTGAAGCAGTTTTCTTTTCAAGCCGACTTCCCAGGTTTTCAGATAACACGTCAAGAAACGCTCGGCACATAGGGAGAATCAGGCTCACGAGGGACTTGCTGTAAATACCGCAGTTAATTTTTGTTTGCTGGGTATTAACAGACGTACCCTCTGAAAGGCATTTTTCATCGTCTGGCAATTCCTTTGGTGGCCACTGCCGTCTGCTGTTTTTTGACCGTACAAGAGCCCACGCTCTGGTTCCGCCCAATCGTTTGTCGAAATATGAACTGCCACTTTTTCGGCATTTCACGGCAGGCTTTTAAGATGCAGAAAGGGCTTCGAGATTCCTCGTAAAATAAGACGGCTCGTCTATTGAACACTCTTCCATCTAGCGAGAATCCCCCATACCTGGTCCCAGCTGTACCCGACGTCCCGTAGCACCATCTGCCGCAGGGTCTTGAAGGCGTCCCGCAGTTCCGCCGCACTCTTGGGAAGTTCCAGCACATTCTTGCTGCAACGCACGCAAAACAATGTACGCCATGACCCTTCACCTCTTGAGTGTACTTTTAGGTACAATTTTGTTGCCCCTTATTCTTCTTTAGTATACAAAATTATCAAAGCACAAGGGCATGGCACAGATATTCTTCCCAACCACGAACTCTGAACCCGCGTTGCGTCGTCCTCTTTGACCGGATTACCCGAGTTGCGACAACATATGGAGTTCGCTTTAATACTAACTTCCTCCATTTTCTTTAGACATACCACTGGTACACAGTCAACAATCGGGACGTAATTTCAGGCATAGGTCGACGCAACACGACGAAAATTAAGGCTGGAAAGACGGCAGTTTCACAGTGAGCGCTCGCTTTTTGTGCCACATTATTAGTAAAAATATGATGACTGCAGTTTGCCCTTTCCTATAGTTGGTGTCAAGTTGACACAGAAACCGGATGTTCTAGAAATCGACGGGGGTCGTGCTGACGTCTGCGGAAGAATAATAGCCAGAGAAGTAAACGACCGCCTTCGGCGGATGAGCTCGCGGCCAGGCACGTGTCAGGTTACGCAGGGAGCGCTCCGTTGAAGCGACCGCATGTTCGGTGTTTTCTGGGTATACACAACCGAGAGTGGTTTTGGGGGGTACACACATCTCTGCAGCCCCAGATTTACGAGGTGAGCTGGCAGCTCGCTGTTGAAATGTGTTTTTCGTCAGCGCTCGAATTGCCTGGCGGGTCTTAGTGTTTAGAAGAACCCTGCCTTAGGGTCAGGGGTCAGACCGAGGGGGCAACAACCTATTGTGGGAACAAAGAGAGTGCGGGAACCGTGGGGTCGCCAGGACTGACAGTGCGAGAGAGAACTCTAAGGCGGACGGACGCATCGCGATGTCGAGGGATGCGGCGAGACCCTGTCGACGGCCCCACGCCAGGCACCGGACAAAGCTTCCAGTGAGTGTGCGACCGCAAAAAGTGGGCGTGCGGGGCCAGTGAGCCGCGCCCACAGTGTGCCAAGCCACCCGCCGGAATTTCTCCACCTCGGACGGACCGCGCAGGGAGACGCCAGCACCTCTACGCCAGATGAGATTTTTTCTTTGCACTCACCTATTCTCCTATTTTAGTTCACCATTAGGACTCTCTTAAACTTAGTATTTTTCTAGTACTGTCTAGGCAACCCCGAGCATGAAATTGTAAACCGTTATACTGTGTGTACCTGTGCTATCTGCCGCTTGGTGTCTATGTGATTTTTGATAATTATATAGCGCCTAATTATCTACTATACCTCTGTCAAATTAAACTTCATTTATACATCCGACACACACCTCCGTCTCTCTTCATTGGTAAGACTCTCCACCACAGCGTGGACCTATCGCTCGGTCAGCGGTCCCCTTCTTTCACATCGTCACTCGGGAGGCATACCGCCTTCCTGTAACACAGGTCAAGAACGAAGTGGAAGCTCCTCCCACGTCTTTACAATTCAGCAAAGCGAATGCTGAGAGGAAACCGCCTCCTCTCCAGCATTTGCCCTGCTAAAGTGGAAAGTGCTGGGAGGAGCTTCTCCTTCGTTCTCGACTTTGTCACCGACCATAAGGCGTGATCTACGAAAAATGTGAAAGGACATTAAACTGCCTCACTTAAACAAATCTTGAATTCTTGCTACTTCTCTCAACTGCAAAAAAATTCAAGGCCGTCGCACTCGGAAGTTTTGGAAACCTCAAAAGCTTCGAAGGTTGCAAGTTAGGGCCTTAACAAAGTTTTGGTGCCTTTCCATCTTGAACCACGGCAAGTCTCCAAACCCACAACCTCTCGACCTCGAGCCACGGGTGTGGCTTGAAATGCCTCCACTCCAGCCTCCGCTTTTCCAACCCCGCCCACCTGAGGTTGAGGGAGACGAGCCTGCTCATTGGCCTCGTGACCTCCGCCACTTGCTCCCAGGTCGCCAGCAGGGTGTGGCTCAGGTCCAGGTAGCGCAGGTTCGGAACCAGCTGCGCCACCTCTCCCAAGTCGCCGGCACGATCCACCGGCATGTGGGACAGCGACGCTTCGACGATGGTCTCCCCTCGACTGTGCACGAGAAATCGCCGTCCATTTGAGACAAAAGCGCCTCTTTGGCAGGGTTCGTAAAAGCGCGCAACGCCGAATTCGGGGGGTTCGGGTGCCAAACTCGACGAAGGGCATACGCTCCTGCGGAGGACCGAGGACTAAGTTCGACCGCCTGGGGGCCTTTCGACGTGCAACCGAAAGCTTGGCCGAGATTCGAACCCGCCATCTGGGGACCCTAAACGCCTCCGAGTCGTCCTGGCAGAGATATGCCGAAAGAACCGCCGGAACCCAGCTCATACCTCACACCACCCTTACCCAAACGTTTTTTCCACTCTTTCGCATTCCAGAAACTGACCCTTTACGTGTGCAAAGACTGTCGATAAAGAAGCTCCGCATCACCTCAGCATCATGGACACTTTCTCCGGACCGACGAACTCCACAATGCGGTTGCAACGCGGCGCCTCCATCAACAGCACGTCCTTGGAACCGTCCGGACAAGGCAGCGTTGCGAAGTACTTGCTCCGCATTGCGTCTGGAACACTCAACGTCTCGTCCAACTTCTGGGGACGGATGAACGATCCGCCGGTCTCGGACCTGCGAGTTGGGTGCAGACACCATCCGACGGTCGCCATCGTTCGTCGTCGTCGTGCGCACGTGTTGCGGGTGTACGGGTGTTTGAGCGAAAGAATGCTGATAATTACTTGGGTTATCATCATTGTCGTCAAATATTCCCTCGAGACATTGCTTAAGGTTTTTCTCAAATAATCTCCATGTGATTTAATTTATGATTCAATGTAATTCAGTTTCTTAATGACCAATTAGGGCATTACATAAAGCAGGGAGGGAGGGAGGGGGGCGTTGTATGATGCTAAGTACAACAAACAAATGCCAAAGTGAAAGGACCACTAACGAAAAACATTTGTTGAAGACTGGGAAGAGAGGGGGGGGGGGGAGGTATGCTATAAAAAAATTCAATCACCTCAATTAAAACGGAAAAAAAACATTTTTACATGCTAGCAGTCTTTTTTTTAACGATAAGAGACATAATAAAGCTACAAAAGTAATGTAGAGAGTCACCAGGCTCGATCTAAAATGGACTGTAAAAATAGACACCTGTACAAAGCAATCTGAATTTTTTGTCAAAGGTGCATGTTACAGGTCGGTTTCTTCTTCTAAAATTACAAAGCGTAGCTCCCTTTTTGTAAAAAGAAATAGGGCCAAGAAACTTGCCAAGTTCAATGGCAGACGACGCCGTAGAAGATCGAGTCAAGTGGCGGAACGTGTAGCTGACCAGCGAAAGCAAGCAGACGACACACAGACGAAATTCGTCGGCAGCAAAAACGCCGTCGTTATTCAACTGCAATCTTTTTTTGTAATTTCCCTTTTATTGTTTGCATTTATTTTTAAACCAAAGATGTACTACAAAAACATTATCTTCATTTTAGTAAATCATGGCTGTTGCGAGAAGTCTCGATAAGGAGGTAGCGCCATCTATCAATATCTGCGCCAAACGCACCCCGCCGCTCGCCTCAGTCGTCCGTGTTCACCGTCTGCCGTTGACCCTGGAAATTTGGCCCTATTTTTTATAGAAAGTAAGCTACGCTTTGTAATTTTACAAGAAAAAACGGACCCGTGAAATACACCTTTGACGAAAAGTTCATTTCATTACTCTAAGCAAACAAAACTAATATTAATATCGTCACATGCTGTAAAACATTCACACTTTCTTTCTAAGATCAAATGTTCTTAGTTTGTTGCGATGTGGTCACTCATTTTCCTGTCCGGTTTAGGTGAGTGTCCAGAGAGAAAGATGTTACCATCATGGGACATGTGAGACATTGAGCGTTTTGCAATATTGAAAAAGGAAAAAAATGTCCTTGTGTTGCTGATATCTGATAGACACTAATAAACAATGAAATACATACAGCACAAATGGACAAGGACCAGTTGATAGAGATAAATACCTGGTGTTAAAGTACTGCACACCGTTGTGACAGCCATTGTGCTTTCCCCGGTTTGGATCATCCCATTCAATTCCAATCCACGTGCCTGCCGACACAGCAAAAACCAAGTGATGCAGGTAAAACATTGGGAAGAGCCACAATAATCAGAACAATGATGGAAAAAAAAGATTAAAATCGACCAAAAGCCAGAAAATAAACAAAAGACGAAGTCCCCCTTGTATTACCAATCTTAGCAACTGCTACAACAGCAACAGCAGTGCACTTCTTTAACTATACAGGGTGTCTCAAATAGCGGCCATGTTCTTTAAATCGACGGCAAAAATCGGTTTCTTAACCTATCGCGCTACGATTTTGTGCAATACTGCCCACAGGTTGTGCATTTTTCCTATAAAATTTGCAAAGAACGAACTCATTTGAGGAAAAAGTAAAAAAAGAAAAAGGCTTAACTCCTGCAGAAACGCAGCAAAGCCACCGGTCTTCAAACAATAGGGCATAATTTGGCATGGGAGACAAGAGATGGCGCAAGCGGTCGTGACGTCAACTGCCGCCAACAAACGAGCATAGAAAAAAATGCACCACCTCTGGGCAATGCTGCACAAAATTTTAGCGCGATAGGTTAAGAAACCGATTTCTGCAGTCGATTTAAAAAGCCTGGCCGCTATTTGAGGCACCCTGTAGATTCCCCATTGCAACACTAGACGGCCGCCTCCAGGCTTGCGGTGTTGGATCTATGCTCACTTGCTCCTCAAGAACCATAACAAGACAAGTACAGCTCCCTGTGGAGAGTTACTAATTTCTCCATTTATGTGGTGACTCATAAAAAACTCTTGTTTATACTTTTTTTTTTTTTTTGCAACAGAACAGGGTTTTTTGCTATTTTATGAAGGTGCACACATTTGAAATGCTAAAAGCATTTCTGTTCTCCCTCTGACAACCCCCTTACGCAATGCCCTTAAAGGGACACTGACAGGGTATTTATGCTCGCCGAGTTTTTTAGTTGTACGTGACATATGAGAGCTCAACTACCCAGAACAGAATTTGCGGCTCGAAATTCGGTTTCTTTCCACCTGAAAACTGCCGATCTAGAACTGGCCGGTTCGAGTCTCGCTCACTCTCTTTTCCGCGGTCACGAGCCGTTTTCTAAGGTATCGATGCGACCACCAAATTTAATCAAAGTCGTGGGTGACTGAAGGCACACACTCAATATTAAAAATAGAAAAAAATATGAAACCTATTTTTTGTGGCTTCTAAAAAGCTGCAAATACGTTGATTGAAAAAAAAAGTTTCACAGACAACCGGAAGCATTCTGCGCGTTCGTCGTTTCGCGTATCGTGGGACTCGCGGGGACGGCGTGGGACCTCTATTTCAGAACTGTCGTTCGTGGTACCGGCGAATTCTGTCTACCTTTAAAAAAGAAATTTGGGACTGATCAAAAGAATTGGTATTCATCCCGTACGACACGCCCGACCACCAAGCCGATTTGCCCGAAGACGTCGCCAAGCCGTCGCTCCCTTCTCGTAGCTGAAGACATCGCTCGCGCAAATGTCAAGCACGACGTGTCTACTTCGAGTTGAATATGCACGCGTACGATTTCTTTACTAGGTGCGAATGTCGCTAATGCGTGGTGCTTCCCGACTTCGACCCGGGAGTGCTTTTGCTAGAGAAAAGTCGGCATCAAACTTTCCAACTTACAGTTTACCGGCTGAATTATTACTAAGAAAAGAGATCTCGCAGTAAAGAGTTGCCCCAGTAGCTCAGTGGGAAAGGCGTCCGCTTCACACTTGGTAGGACGGGGCTCGATCCCCCGTAAAACCTGTTCTTTTTTTTTTTTAAAACATTTTGTAATGTTTACATATCTTTTTCTTTTTTTTTTACAATTATCACTTAAGAAAGAAACAAAACAAAAAATGTTGTGGACGACACGTCGCTGAATTAAATGGTATGGGATTTCCTTTTTGACACCTGCGAACTCAATCACTTTGCACAAAATGCAAGGAGCATATAAATCAGGTAGCGTCCGCTTTCCGAGGTGCCAGTATATGTTCTACAGGAATAGCAGCCAGCCATTGGTCCCGATCCCGTTGATCTTTCGGAAACTGTCGCACAATGCCCCTTTTTTTTTAGGACGCAGGACATCTGAGCCAGCTCTTCACGCAACATCTTGGGTGTATTCTTTTCGGAGCCGATCATTGAAATTCACCACGGGCACTCACTACTCATTCTCCAACTCCTCAATGTACAAAACAAGTCATCTTGGAGTACAGAAAAACGAGCGGAACAAACATAACTGCAAAAGAATCGCACGGCGAACAGTTCCCGTACGCCGCATGTCGTGTCGTCTGCTACAAAAAAGAAAAGAAAAAAAAAACAAAAAACGCACGGTTGGGTGTAGCCACGTGACTTCCGCCACTTGCTCTCTTCTCTCCACTTCTCCGACCTCCGTCGGGTTTCGTTTTCGAGCAGTTGCGTCTTTTGGCTTTATTAAAAAAATACGCTACTCTGTTGCAAAATATTAAGTGGGTAGTCCTCCGACACCATAATAAAACGCCTGGCAAAAAATGAAAAAAAAAATTTTTGGGGTGTCAGTGTCCCTTTAATGGGCCCTTGAGGTGAAACAAATAAGAATAATAAAAAAATATTGTGCGAACTTCTCTGCAATAAAATCATCTGATGGGCTAGTTGGGTAAACATAATCAAAAAATAGCGCAAGGACGAACTTCTCTGCACAGTCACAATGTGTAAACTATGTGCAAAATTTTTTTTAAAGACAATTAGCGTAGGCATAATGGAGATCATAAAAGATAAAACGGTGCCCCTCTAGATGCAAATGGAGTGAAGATATCAGAAAACATTGTTCCTGGCTCCAAAATGACAATGTTTGCAACGCCAACTACACATCTCAAGCTTCCCAGACCTCTGATTCACACTTTAGCCAGCAGGTGGAGGTAGCTTTCTTCACGGTTTCAATTTTCAGAAGAACCACTATTAAAGAGACTTGACCTTAATTTTTGTTAAGCTGAACGATAGCTGTTGAAATAAATCAAACACAGCGGCCAGGTGAAACAAGGTGCTGCTTGAATTTATCCACTCCAATAGACCTGTTGCAAAATGTATGGATTTTGGGAACACACCGTACAGATCACGCGCTTTCTCGTTGCACCTTCGCGACCGTGCGAGAGTAGCACCAGCAATTGCCAGCACCCATCCGTCATCCACTGGAACATCGTACGTTGTTGGTGGCGCAGTGGCAGCACAAACGCGTCGCGACGGGTGAAGCTAGTTATTCACTTCTTTGAATACGTTGCTCATTGCAACTTACTTTCTTGTCTGGCAGTGTCACTTAATCCACTTACTTTTCACCGCAAATCTGGTAGGGTTCGGCTAGGTTGACAAAGCGTTGGTGCGGCAGACGACAGAGCCGGTACAAAGGAGAGGGATGAGATAGCGACACCCTTGCAAAATAGCCAACGTGAAACCCTCTCTCCCAATTCCGTGCGCGTGTCGCGGTCCGACACGACTCCCAGCCGCTCGAATGTTGTTGCCATGATAACCTGCGCCTGCTCGCGTATACCAGATTATGGCGGGGGAAAGACGATAAGTGGGTGTACCGAGGACTCCCATTATTCGTCGCGTGGCACGCGTGGGCTTTCGAGATTTTCGCAAAGGGTCTATTGGCACAAGCTCCCCTTCTCCTCACTTCCTGCATTTGTCGCCAGATGGCATTGCATCATTAGTAACAAAACATGGGAAAACAATACGTCTCGTTTAACCTCCGCTCCCGCAAGAAATTCTTCATAATGTGAGTCGTCCATAATAATGAGACCAAGATGCTGGTATCTACCCAGTCCGTCCCAAAAAGGACTTCATATATGTCGCGTTGTACCCGTATTCACGGTGTCCATGTTAATGAGACACGATTCTACAGAGAATTGGCACAAGCGTAATTGAGTTGAACAAAAATATGAAATAGCACCTTTGGTGTCGATGACAGGTCCGAGGTAACGAACCACGCCGTAGTGGCCATCACAAGACACCCGTGTTCCTATTTGCACTTCGTTTTGTTCTCCCATCTTGGGCCGTTTGTGTGCATCTGTTAGAAAAGAGCACCACCAATAAAGACAAAGCAATGATCGACATTACAGACTACAAAGAAAACATTGTGATTTAGATTGCATAAGACTCTTTGATACATATTCATTCCACATAACAATGGTGTATATTCACGGGTTGCCACTTGCTCTGCAGCATTTGTGTGTCAGTTGCAAGCATGTCTTGATAGCAGGCTTCAACACTGTCTATTCCTTACCACTGAATTCACAAACTTCACTCCAATTGAAGCACTTCCTCAAAAAGGCGCGAGGGCCGCCTATCCGCCGTCACAGTAGGCCAGCGCCTGCTCTTGCACCGTCCTCGAGGAAGTGGAGGGGCGCCTCAGTTGGAGTGAGGTTTGTGAGTTCGGCGGTTAGACTCACAGTTTTCGGGCTGACGATAAGTGAAAGCGACAGAATTATGGCACACTTACGTTTCGCAAACACATCACATAGGAAGGTTCTGATGAGCTGCAAGTTGCATATACAGTTCACAAATGCATCCAAACATCCATCAAAGCCTGTTACGGGACTATTAAAAATTCTGCATAACTTTTTTAAAATTTTCATTCCAACCATGTTTTTACTGTCATGTGCTGGGAATCTGTGACACAGTTTGTACAGACACAAATAACACATTGGAAAGGCATTCTAACCAAGTTAGTCTCTTCACCTAGGCTACTTTCATTGTTGCAAAACATTTTCCAATCCACCAGGTAACTCGCACTGTTACCATTAATAGCTTTTGAAATGCTGCAATTTAGGAATAAGATAAATCGTTCCGATGTTAAAAAAAAAAAAAAAAATCAAAAGTTTTTTGTTGTTTTTTTCAATTGTAATTGTTTTTGCACATTTATATACTTTGACAAAAGGGCGCCCCCCTTTTGATGGCTCCCTGTGCCCAACCATAGAGGCGGAACTGACGGCCGACACCATACCAGGGTGTCTACTAAAAGTTTTCCAACTTGTATCCAGTCCATTACTAAATCACTAAGGGTAATCAGTTACAAAGCTTCCCAACCAAATGCATATTAGAATCCCACCCGTCCGATGTGTGCCTAAAAAGAGTCAAGCACGCCGCGATCCAAACGAGCCTTGCGTGGGAGCATCCCTAGAAGAAAAAAAAACAAAAACGAGTTCTTCGGCGTTACAACAATGTGTCACCGTTTCGCACGCGAGCAAAAGCGACCGCTGCTCATCTTAAGACTTCGTCAACGAACTCACGGGCGACCTCAAAGCACTGTCAGCTGTTGTGGCGAAGGGTGCCAACAAAAATAAATCGCGCATGGAACGAGCAGAAAAATCTGGCGCTGCCAGGCGCCGTGGTGCTCTAACCTATTTCCTAGAAATAGACGGGCCACAGGGTGTTACTGGGTTAAAGGCGCGCCTAGAAACGCGGCGTATAAAGGAACGGACGGCGCGATCCTTTGTTGTGCCATTTAAACTCCTCGCGTACGGCAAAACATCGCGCAGAAACATCGGAGAGAGAAAGGCAATGCAGTCACCGAGTTTTGAAGGTCGTTGATTCTAGGAGCCGTATATGTCTCCCAAGATGTCCAGCCTTCGTCTTAGAGTGATGGAAGCGGTGGCTGCTTTGGTTTGACGACAAAATGCTCGCTCGAGCTACGCATTTGACGCATCCAGACGATCAACAAGAGCCAGGCGTTACGAAACAAAGAACATGCTTCCGACACGGCTAACGATGCACATCTACAGCTGAGTCGAATTTTGACGGAAATTGTTCGACGGTGCTGCCCTCAGTTGGTTGAACCGCGAAATCTGCGAATAAATATACGAAAGATCGAAAGAGGTGAAACTAGGCATCCTGCACAGGTGGCGCAAGTTACTTTTCAATTTGAGAGTTTTAATTTATTTCTATAACTTTTATACAAAACAAAAAAAAATAAGGCACTAAATTTAGTAATAATTCATTTGTTTATTATTTATTACTACTTTAAAATTTGTAAGTATATGTTTAGCCAATATTCAATACTATTATCATTATCATCGCGTTACTAAGAATCTAACGGCAAATCCAATCCAATCCAATATCAGCAAAAAATGTTTGCGGTCGCCGTGCTCGACGCTCGTGCTCGGTCGGGTTGATTCAGATATGCTACTTGCATTTTAGGAGTTTCTCGAAAGTTTCTCGGGCTTCGCAGTCACTGTCTTGGACAACGATGTGTTCAAGAGTATTGTCAACAGCCAAGGTAAGCTCTCCTAACATTGAAAATCTGGCTAGACATTATTTGCATATGTGGTGGGCGCTACGAGATCATGAACATGGTCTCTCTAAAGAGTCGGCCGTTGTTTGTGTGGTAAATAATCCCAATCTTTGCTTGATTGATCCCTAACTTTTTAGGTCATCAACGCGGCCCTCAGACGGGTGTCCAGGGATACAACTGGACTTAATGCCGCCACGAATCAGCACTTGCGGAACCGGGCTCCCTATGCTCTCCAGCTTCGGGCATGCTCACAGAGCCTCGTTAAGCAAGATGCTGCTCAAGTTGTAAGACTCTTGCTCATTTGTTATCGTTTTTTTTTTTTTTTTTTTTGCATATTTCCTTGCTTTAGGAGAATGAAAATTAGTTCTAGTTACTAATATATTGAGTGTAACGCTGCAAGAACACAAGAGGTAAATCGATAACTGGATGAACTGTTTGAACCCGACGGCAGCTTGCGCCGCCTTGCCATCGCCATCAAAATCAAAAGGCTAGCTTTGCAGATAGTGAAGAGAAGAATGGAAGAGTGGGCAGAAAGCACGCAGATTCTGGGTGAGCTCCAAAATGGTTTCCGAAGGGATAGAAGGCTTGAAGATAATTTATTTATAGCCAACCAGTGCATAGAAATTGCAGCGACAAACCATAGACCATTATGGGGAGCATTTTTAGATATCAAGGGGGCATACGACAATGTGAGTCAGGAAAAACTCTGGGAACTGCTGAGGAGGTATGAGCTAGAATCATATTTGATTAGATTCTTGCAAGAATTGTATACAAATAATGAGGTGGTTATAAAGTGGGAGGCAGAAACTACAAGACCAGCAGCAATAAAAAGAGGGCTTAGACAGGGTTGTCCCCTGTCACCACTGCTCTTTATGGTATACCTAAGCGAATTGGAAAACAGGTTAGAGCAGAGCAACTTGGGATTTGATCTGACGTATATGGAGGGAGGGAGTAAAGTAAACCAAGTCATACCTGGACTGATGTATGCAGACGACATCATACTTACCGGGAAATATTGGACGAACTAATTGGGATATGTGGAGGAGAGGGCGACAAGCTTGGTCTGACTTTCACTAGAGAAAAATCAGGAGTGATGGTTTTTAATGATGAAAAGGGGGCGCCGCTGATAATTCAGAACTTTGAAATAGACTATGTAGATAAGTACAAATATCTGGGGGTCTGGATGAAACAGAGAAAGAAATATTTAGAGGAACATGAGGAAAATATATTAAAAAAGGGGAAAAGAAATTCGGCTATTATGAAGCATAGAGCACTATGGAATTATAATAGATTTGAAGTAGTTCGAGGCATTTGAAAAAGAGTCATGGTGCCAGGTTTGTCGTTTGGTAATGCGGTGTTGTGTATGCATTCACAGGTTCAGAGAGGATTGGAGGTCAGACAGAGAAGTGTAGGCAGGTTGGCACTGGGTGCGCATGGGAACACGCCAAAGGAAGGGGTACAAGGGGACATGGGCTGGTCGTCTTTTAAGGGTAGAGAGGCAATCATCAAATTGAAATTTGATCAAAGACTAACAAAAATGGAGGACGTACGATGGGCGAGAAAGGTGTACAAGTATTTATACATGAAGAGTTTGAATACAAAATGGACGAACCGAACGAGAAAACTAAAACTTAAATATCTGTCATTTAGGGGGGAGACTGAGCGGAACACAATGGTAAAAAAGGGCGTAAAAGAAGCCGAAAGGAAAATGTGGAGTGGTAGGATGCAAGGAAAATCAGCTTTAACAATTCATAGGTCACATAAGCAGCAAATAAGAAAAGTACATGTTTTTGATAATTCACTGGGTAGTTCCCTACTATTTGAGGCTAGAACGGGGGTTTTAAGAACCAAAACGTATAGGGCTAAATTCGAGAAAATGGACACATTATGTGCCATTTGCCAAAATGAGAACGAAACAATGGAACATCTTGTTTTAGAATTTACGAGGCTTCGTCCTGCTCTCCCGGAGGGGTTGGCGAACTTGGCGGGGGCGCTCGGTTTTGCGGACGAGGATGGAGGAATGGAGAAAAAAAGGGTTACCATCACAAAAAGGAGATTGGAAAACTGGTGGATACTGTCTAGGGAAAATGAAACAAGGACGAACAATTAGCACAGCTGGGGATCAGGAGGCACAGAGGAATATTGGGACTTCCTCCCGCGTGGCTCCGGCCCAAAGTCTCACACCTGTCCCCCAGTGGGTGTGGTTTAAGGAGGAACACCGATGAGGTTGACCAGAGGAAAACTGGCGACTCCCTCGCCTGGGGGAGGAGGCGGGGGGCGGTGTTTAATTTTTTTTTTGCCCAATCCCCCATAGGTCTTCCTGGAAAGTACTCTACCCGCCCGGTGGTAGTTGCAGAGAGGTAAAGGGAAAAAACAATATAGAAGAAAAAAGGAAAAACAAATTTCTTAATTAATAATTTAAGGCTAGTTGGCGCAAGCTACCGCCCGACATAAAGGGAACAGCCAATATCCATCCATCCATCCATCCAGAGCAGTCCAATACGCACAACAAATTATGTACATATACCTTAATCTCTTGTGAACGTGTGTGTATGTTTTCAGCCACATTTTTCGCTCTGCATGCAGTCGGGATGGTGATTCGTATGCATGACGGCATCAGCGCTTGCTCACACTTTACTCTCACAGAGTAGCTCCGAACACAGAATTTTTGTATTGGCAGCAACAGTGCAAAAAGGACAAGGACAAAAAAAGTAGGGGATGCACAGAAGGACAAACAAGGGATGTGCTGGCTTACAACTCGTCCATTTGTCCTTCTGTGTGTCTTCCACTTATGTGTCTCTCTCTTTTCGCGCCGTTGCTGCTAAAATGTTTTGCACAGACGCGCGAGCTTTCATGTTAACGAAATATTGCATGCAGAATTTTATGTTGAACATATACACGTGCCAGAAAAAGCTACACAAAACAAAAGACGGCAGAAGTGGGCGATCGACCGCTTGGATTAGCTGTGTCGTACACTGCGAGGTTATGTTTACGACGGTGGCCGTTTTTGGCGAAGATCCGCAGCGGATCCTGAGGTGCGTTTGTGTCTAGGTCGTGGCCCACTAAATTTAGTGGGGAATTGCAGCGTCGTGTGACAATGTGACGTCAGTGTCACGGGATGTAATAACGTAATGTGACATTGGGGTGTCACGTAGCGTCACAGCGTTACATCACGTTGCAGTGTCACATCAACGCAGCCCGTTAAATTTAAGCATGGCAATGTAACGTGTGCAGCGCCTCGCAGCCACAGTTCGCTTGCAGGACACAGCAAGGAACCCGCTGATTGATTAATAAATAAATGCGTAACTTGCTGACCAGATGTCCCGTTTCAGAAAACTGGGCAGACGATGGAAGAGGAGGAGGAGCTGGACAAGCTCTTCAAGTATGTGGAGGTGGAGGTCAGAGGTCATGACCCCGCTGTGCTACGCAGCTACAAGTGGTACGCCATGGAGGCAGCAAAGATGCTCAACATCACGGTGTCCAATACGTTAGTATGGCAACGACATTCTTAAAAAGCGTCCTTGCCAAGCATGCATGCTGTTACGACCATGCTATGGCTGGGCTGGAACGAAAAGGCGCTTGTTCTTACGACTTTCACGTGGCAGTGTAGTTTCTCCCTCCCACCTCATCTCAGTGGGTTCGCCACTACCAGTGATGTGATTGCTGCGCCAATTGCGCCAAACTGCGCCAAGGGGCTAACCCTGCTACATTTTGCCCAAATATGGCTAATCTGTGCCAAACCTGCACCAAAAAGACAAACAAAAAAACCATTTCGTTCGCTTTTTAAAACCGAAACTAAACTGAGCACCTTATTGAGCTTGCGTGTGTTATGATACACAAGCGGCCAACCCATACAAGTACCCTGCGCCAATTGTCCACCCGGTCCTGCATGGCTTTCCCGCCATCCGGCGTTTCGCGCTCTCGTCGTCCTGTGAATCTCGTCTCGCGTCTTTTTTTTTTTATTTTTAACAATAGACGTGGGTGTGTGCGAAGGCTCCGACGCTATAGCGTACCGGGTACCAGCCATGCCGTCATGCTGTGAAACGAAGCCGCGTTTTTGCGTGGCGGGAGTGACTTTGTGAACTGAAGCACTCGCTCCTGAAAGCAACGGCCATGAAAAACCATATTTGGTCCCTGCCTTCTTTCTAGTCACCGTGGTTGCACGACGTCGGATGTTGCCGTCCCCACGTTGCTGCAGATATGACGATTTCTAAAATGAAACTATAAGTACCACCGCATGTTCATCAAAATTCCTGTCCTTCTTGTAATCGTACATTACTACGAAAATCCATCTTCAACTCAAAGACTGCTGTGTCGAAATATTGATTACCTAGGTTTCTCTCGGTGGGCTTTCTTTCGAGAGGGATTCCGGTACGTGAAAAATCTGCTGCGAAAGAAAGTTGGTGAAGAGAAGTGAGCTAAAGCAAAGAAGGCAATGTATGCACGCTGAGCCCGCACAGCGCGCTTGTTTGTCTCGAGTTCAGTCGTTGCAAAAAGCGCTCCAAGAACTTTTTGACCCTGGCTTGCGATGTGTTGCACCGATGCGTTCTGGTTCTTTTTTGCTTTTTTTTTTATGTGTTTAGCTTGTACCTTGTTTGCCTGCCTGACAAGAACGCGCGGCTGGCATGTTTTTCGTCGTATGCTCGACAATTTCATTTTGCATACGATTTCGGGAATCAGTTGGCGACGGAGCGGAGTGACATGGTTTCGGTTTCGATTGAACAGACGTTGTCTCCGCTCGCGTGACAATGCACGAGCAACTGCAAGCCTGCTGAAGTTGCCCTCACGGGTTTGTGAACTTGATTGCACGGCAGAGGCACCAGCCAAAAAGCTTGCTATCCATTTTTTTTTTTTTTTTTTTACGTTTGCTTTTTTTAGACGAAAATCTGGTACGCCGGAAATCAGTAAAACGGTGGCAAGTGCGCATGGTTTTTCGGATTTGCTCGGCAACGCCTACAGCACTGTACACTTGTTGGATGTCTCAGCAGTAAAACACAACCAGGAGCTTTTGTCACAACACGTCACATTAGAACACTACAGAAGTCAAAGCACAAAGTGCCCTTCATTTGTACAGCACTTAAAACTAATATTTTTTATTTTTTTATTTTTCTAAGAATATCTGCTCCAAAGGCCACTTTTGCTGCTCCGAAACACTGTTTTGGCTGCTCCAAGAGGGGCTCCAAAATGGCTTAGGCCAATCACATCACTGCACTACCTTTGGGGTCAAATTGGGGGATTTTTCAGACTATAGTTAGATCTAAGGGCCTCGAAGCCACACTTACCTGCAGGGACTTGCGCGGAACGCTTCTTCTTTTCAAAAAAACTATTTTCTACAAAAGTGTGTTTATTTATCCTAAGCCAAAAATATTTCAATCAGAACGCTAGAGTTGTTTCGCACGAGTACTTTGGCGCACAGTTTCTATCAAGATGATAGAAGGTGGTTCAGGCAGTACTTGTCACGCCCTCACGCAGTAGAAAAACTCTTTTTGATTTTAAGCGAGAGCGAAGTCCGCGAGGCATGCCACTGTCTAGCCCGACCGGGAATACACTGCAAGCATTGTTGGGGATAACCCGCTCGTGCTTGTGGTAGTACAGTTTTTATTCTTCGTAACTCCCAAGTTAGGTTGGTGTTTAGTCGTCCTTGTCTCTTCCCTTGTCCCACTTTTGAATGAGTTGTCTTCTGCTTCCAGCTGGGAACCCAAGAAGGTGCACCACAGGCTGACACTGCTCAAGGCACCCTTTGGCAAGAAGAAGCACATGGTGCAGTACGAGGCGAGGACATACTTCCAGGTCATCCAGGTGCGTGCCTTTGAGGATGTGCTCATAAGTGGGAACAGGAGAAACACATAAGCACAGTAGAAACATAGGGAAAAACATTTCTTTGGTGAACTGTGAAGATAATTGTTTTTTTCGAGAGCTGACTATAAAATGTACTTGAAGTATGGTATAAAAAAAAACCTAAAATTTAGGTGACCCTTTTCTTTATTAACCCAACTTTTATTAGAGCTTCTTTTTTTTATATTAATATTTTTTATTGGGAGCTTTCTTTGGGCTCTGGGTCAGATTAGAGTCACTAAATAGGCCGCATCATTTCTGAGTTATCTTGTAGGTGCTTGGAGCAGGGCACTGAATTGGCAGTATATTGATTCGAAAACGCAACTACCTGAAGCTTAAATAGGAATGGTAGATGGCAGCTCGGGCAAGGTTGATTTTTCGCCGTGGTCTTTTTCAACAATACGGAAAGACGGAAAAGTTTTTTTTTTTTCTTTTTCTTGCAGTTTCACGTAACGCTTTAGATATGTGGCAACAATGATTTTAACCAACAAGGTGGCTGACGTCAAGCAGGCTGTCTACCAACTTGGAATTGTTGAGATATGTGAAAGCACCCGTAAAGATCATGGAAGTCATCAAGAAGTCGGGGAAAGTGGGTGATGCAGATGGCGCAGCGACGTGCAACAGAGTGGGAGGATTTGCCGCGCAGCAGCGCGGATGGCCTTCACTCCGAGTAACGGTTGCACAGCGGTCGCTAGGTGGCGTAAGCTGCCACCGGATTGAACGGGAGCGGCCCAAAGAGCTGCCGCGATTCTGTCCTCTGCATTTCCTTGTTTTGTCATGGTCAGGGAATTTAATTGAAGTATTCAGGGAAAGTCAGAAAGAGTCGGGGAATCTCAGAGAAACAGTGTGGTAGGCACCATCCGAAGCAACAAGAAGACTGAAGCTAAAGGGACAATGATATAATCTTTTAATCTTTTTTTCCCTAGCTTCAATCCTCAACTAGAAAGCGAAATAATAGATCACGTGGTCGTGACGTTCCTGTTCGTGACCTCAAGCATGTTCCAAAAGGTTGTGACTTCAAGCCTCCACCTCGCCTTTTAAGCACACTGTGGAACTTGTCACTCGCAGGTGACGATAAGTGCTGTCGGCGGCACTTGTCGGCCAAGAACCCCCTTTCTTTTGGCCCATTAGACGACATGTGAATAGTAAGATTCCAATCTAAAATGATCTACCCAGCCTAAAATTTATTTCATGGACCGTTTAAGCAATGGGATGGCTGAAGTTGAGCCACGAGATTGGCGAAGTGTCGGTGCTTTGAAGCTCGGCGTGTTTAGTGGCTTTCGGTCAGATTGTGCAACCAAAAAGTGTGGGTTTGCTTTCTTTTGTGTTGTGGTGCAGTTTACCGAGCATTGTATTTCCCTCGCAAACAGTTGAAGCACCTGACCGGGTCGACGGCCGACACCTACCTGGAGTACGTGCAGCGTAACCTGCCCGAAGGCGTCGCAATGAAGGTGACCAAGGTAGGTTGCGCATTGGTTCCACCGTGAACGCATCACGTGCATCTCTGCACTGAGATAATGCGAAGTCATAGCTGCGTCAGGGCTGAGTTGACTCTCCTGCGTTGTGTGTGTAGGCAGGAAAAGGCAAAGTCACGTGCGTCGAAGAGCTGATATAGTGGCAAAGTCGGCACTTTGTCCATAGAACTTAATTAGCACCAGGGAGTCGAACTAGTCATTATTTCGTTCCGGGTTTGGTAGCTTTGAATGCTACTCCAGTTCAGCTCTGGTTCAGTGGCACATTCGAAATAATGGTACGGTTGCGTGTTCCATTAAGCGCAAACCGGTTTGCACTGGTTCTCGGAATGACAAGTTCACAGCTCCCAGTTGTTAAGAAAAAGCGTAACCAACACGTCTTCCACATTAAAAAAAAAAAATGTAATCAGAAAATGGGTTGTGGAGACAAGGACAGCAAAACAAATATAGGCCTAATTTCGTTTTGTGATCTTGACCTTTTATTGGAAATGCGGTTAGCTGCAAATCATGCGGTTATGCAGGCATTCGGGAACAGTACCAAAGTAAAGCACTCGCATGTGAAGTCAGTCGGCCAGCACAAAAAGTGACACCGTGATGGTGGCACGCACCATACTCTCAAACTACCTATCTCGCACGCCTTGCTCGAATGACCGAGTTAAAGGGCAGAAAGACAGCAAAGGGCGGTCAAGAAATCCTAAAAACAAAAATGAGAATAAAAAAACAACCAACATTCTGCTCTTGTAAAGTGCACGCACAGGCAAAAAAAGTTCTTTTTTTTTGGTGCCACGGTGTCATGCTCGTCGTGGCTTTGACTCTTGGCGCCTGCAGATTTTGCCACCGCGTAAGAAACACGCTGACAGCCGTTGACTTTTTGCTTTTATTTTTATATTTGCTTTCTCTTTCCTCGAGGAATGTTGCTTAGCAGCAAGGAAAGGACACACCTGCACAAAGAATAGTTCTTTAGCGTCTTGTCATAGTCAGATACTTTGTTTCACGTTACAATGTACCATGATGGATGCTATGAGGTACCCGAACCAATCCATAGCTCGTAGCTTTTCACATGACTTCACACACTCTGTGTCGCTACGCCCAACCGGAAGGACATGTGACACCCTCCAAGCTGTGAATTGGCTCCTGTGACCTGTAGCGTCCTTGGCACTCCATTACAAGGTGAAACAGAGTAGGAAACTGTATGTATACGCGCAACACAAATCGTGCTGCACATAGACATAAAATATATTTATTCGTTCCGTTATATTTGAGCTTGCCTGACCCCACGATCACGAATATTTATTAACTTCTTGCCGCCACCCGCAAGAAGGTGCAGCTCACATTTTATTACGCTGAACCGTTTTCCGATGAACTATAGTAACTTCCACGTGAGATTACGGTTTTGTCTTGGTTCGTGTTCAGTATCAAACATCCGATTTCGGTTACGGTTTTGTCCTGGTTTGGTCGAAAATAGCGGTTTTGCTCCAGTTTTCAGTTTGGATACTGTTCTACACCCTGGTTTGCACTGTGGTCAGTGTACGTGTGAACAGCCCTTGAATGTGTAGTTCCCAACGGCGTGCTAGGGAAGCGGAGTACCTAGGAGCAAGGAAAACTGGGGAAGTCTATCTAGAGCCTCCAGGGAACTTCTATCATGATGACCCATCTAAACATGTTATTTTGTGGAATTTGAATGCAAATAGACAGAAGACTCTCTTTCGAGGCTACGACAAGAGGGCAAGAAATGTAATGGTAGCACTGGCAAAACTATGTAAATTCACATCTAGGTAGAAAGCTGGACGCTCATAAAACTAGCACAGCACGACAAGAGGGCAAGAAATGTAATGGTAGCACTGGCAAAACTATGTAAATTCACATCTAGGTAGAAAGCTGGACGCTCATAAAACTAGCACGGCACGAAAGGAACACGTCAGAAAATAGTTTGTTTGAATGCATAATACTTATACTAGTGTATATAGATTTTTAAGGGAAAAGTCGGGATTGTTGTGGAAAAGACTAAAAATTATCCTTAGGCAATCTAATGTTTTCCCTCTTTGGTGCAGACCCATTACTTTTTTCTTTTTGAACCAAGTAGAATCGACTCTTATTGACAACAGCCATTTATTGCAGCTTACAACAATAATTTCTAGATGGGCACTATAGCTGGTGACAAGTCAAGAACGAAGTGGAAGCTCCTCCCACCTCTTTCCACTTTAGCAGAGTGAACGCTGGAGAGAAGGCGACCTCCTTTCTTGCATTCACTTTGCTAAAGTGGAAAGAAGTGAGGGGGGGGGGTTTCCACTTTATCCTTGACCTATTCTTAACTATAGGCTCGTAATTTCAGTTCTCAGTTCAGCTTTGTGGACTTGGGGCCGTTAACTATAGCAATCTATCAAAATTTGAGCATAAGCATAAATTTTTGTGGTCCTAATCTTCTACTCATCTAGTGCCCCAGCACAGCCATAAAGCTTTGATGACAAACAAGAAATGAGGTGCGGTGTCCTTCAGGAAGAAAAACCGACGCCACAGAGGTGTAAAAATTTAGGCCCGGTGAGATCTATGCTATATATGATTCATATATGATTCGCTAATAAAAATTATTAATATTATTATTCGAACATTGTGCCCATTTTGTTGTTTCAGACCTCGCTGGAGAGGCTCCCGGATTATATTAAACCACCGACGCAAGCTGAGAGCAGTGAGAGGTCTTCGACTGAAGCATCATAGCAAGCAAGGATCATTTATGTGTATTAAACAAAGTTAGGTTTTATCTGTATCTGGGGGTTGTGCTTGATAGTAAAAAGGCAAACTCGCAAGCGCAACGATCTTGGTCAATCACTCGTGCAAAACATACTAAAAAAAATTAATATTTCTTACATTTTTAATTTTTTGCAGTTTGCTCGCAATCTTGACATGAGCAACTTGACAGTTAAATTTTTTAGAAATGGGGTCACCTATACCTGTTTTCACCTCAAAAACTGTAGTAAAAAAAGTCTGGCTCCTCGCAGAGCATTACTAATTCTCCCTTTTATGTGGAGCATTAAGACTTATATAGGTATATTTTAGACTGGATATGGTGCTGTCTTACCAAGACGTAAACGTTTCAAACGCCGAAAGCATCACTTCTTCCTCCGACAACCAAATCTTTTAAGAACTACAGTAGAACCTCGTTGATACGTTTTTCAGGGGACCGCGGAAAAAAAGCGTATCAACCGGGAAAGCGCAGCAACCGATAACGCACTTAAAGGCACTCTATATAAGATAGAAAGCAGCTCTTATGCAACGGTTTATTTTATGCACTCACCGAACCCTTTTGGACTCAAACACGTTCACAAAAGCGCGTAATATCCACCTGCCGCTTCGAATTAATGGTATGCAGTAAAAGTCGTTTCTCCAGAAGCCGCAGTCCCCTCTCACTCTCCGCGCAGTCATGAACGTTTACGTAGCGGCGCAAGGTGTCCAACGCAGCGATCGCGTCCGCAAACGTGGGTGCAGCGTCACCGTTCGTTTTTTGCTCGTCTTCTTCATCACTTTCTTCGTTGTCGGCAGTAGTGAGGTCGGCCACAATGTCCGCTATGCTCTGCGGTTCAGAGGTAACGACGTTGTCGTCAAGCGACGCATATTCGCAGTAGGTAATGGGAGCTCCCATTTTTGCCATAGCATCTTCCATTTCTTGAGAATCATCGGCATCTTCGTCAGCGTTGTTTTTTGTTAACGCTTGTACTTGCCCCGCGCGTTGAAACCCGCACTTGCGGAAGCAGTGCTGCACAGTGGTAGCAGAGACGGTGTCCCACGCTGTAGCGAGAAAGTGCATCGCATCTAGGATGGAGAGCTTGGTCGGAGCGGCACCTCGTTCCACCATGGCAAGCGATCGCCGGACAATCCACTTCCGGTAGAAGTGCTTGACATTTTTTATTATGCCCGCGTCGAGCGGCTGGAGGTGACTCGTGGCATTCGGAGGAAGATACTCCACCCGGACGTTCCTGAGAAACGACAACTCCTTTGGGTGGGCTGGACAGTTGTCGATGAACAGGAGTGCCTTTCTGTTTTGCGACCCCATTCGTGAGTCAAGGTATCGCAGAAACTCCTCGAAAAGAGCACTTGTCATCCATGCACGAGTGTTATTTCGGTAGTGGCAGGGCATCCGACGAAGGTTCTTTAAACATCGCGGGTTACGGAACTTCCCGATCACCCACGGTTTCATCATTTCTGACCCGTCCTCATTGCAACACAGTAGAACAGTAAGCCGTTCCTTGCTACTCTTTCCTCCGTGGCAGGCTTCACCTTTCAGGCTCAATGACTTCGTCGGCTGCACATTGAAGAAAAGACCAGCTTCGTCGGCGTTGAAAACGTCACGTGGGTGGTACTCGGCGATGATCGAAGGCAGCGATGACTTAAATGCTTCCACGCAGATTGGATCAACGCTGGCAGCTTCACCGCTCACCGCGCGGTACGAAATACCGTGACGCTTTCTGAAGCGGTCGACCCACCCGTTGGAACACGTAAAGTCCGCGATATCCAAACGATCAGCAATCTCTTGCGCCTTCTCTCGCAGAATGCCTCCGTCGATGTTGACACAAGATGCCCGGGCTTGTTTGAACCATACCAACAGGGCCTCCTCTAACTTTGCGTGTTTTGCACCCCGAGCCTGTTTAAAGCCTGGTTGGTAGAAAGGAGCCTTCGCCTCGATCTCCTTTCGTCTCGCGACGATACTGTTTAAAGTTGACGGCGCGAGTCCCAGCTCTCTTGCGACCTCAGACCTCTTCCGGCTGGGATTTCGATCCACCGTGCGAAGTATGTCAAACTTCTCTTTAAAAGAGAGTGCTTTTCTCTTTCGGGATGTCATGGCCGTCGTCAACGCGCACGCACTCAGAAACGGCACTGTTCACGCAGTCGAGCTGTCGAGCGGAACAGAAACTGGAAGTGCAGCCGTCGCGGCGTGCGTGCGGCGCGTAAACAACTCGCGCCGGAGAGAGAGGACAGATGAAAAGAAAGAGCAAGAGAGAACGAGCGTTTTCGCAGAGCTCAGCAAAGCGGCAAAGCCCAGTGAGGAGACCGGGAAAGAGGGGGAAAGGAGTAAAGGGAAGGAGGGCGCCCGCGTGCCGCGCGGCCGCGCGATGCGTGGTTCGGCTGTTCGGCTCTGCTTCGCTTCGCTTCGAAGCCGGCGTGGCACCTTGGCGCACGGCGCGCCGAGGCGCCGCGATTCCGGCACTTTTGGACGTAACAACCGGGAAAGCAAACGTAACAGGCAGGAAACTAATACATGTATCTCTATGGAAGTAAAACGGGACCGGCGTTTTTGAACGCAACGGACAGGAAAACGTATCAACCAAGAACGTATCAACGAGGTTCTACTGTACTTCGTGCGGCGTATGAACAATGTGCAAAACGTCCCTTTTTCCTTTAGGTGAAAACGAGTATAGCGGAAAATGGGGTTCAGGAGGTTCTGGTATAAGAATACATGAACACGTGCTCAAGCAAGCGCAGGAATACCCTCGACTACGTAAGCAAGATCGGTGATTAAGATTAGGCCCCCCAGAGTCTTTTTTGTTCCTTTCTGCCTCATCTTTTTAACCCCAAGTTGCTCTAGCTGGCTCAGTACAGGCTCAGTCAGCTCGGTCGTATCGCCAGCATCACCAGTATCGCTTTTTTCATGCACTTCGCTTGTTGCATAGCTCCCATAGTTTCGTTATTCCGACGTTGCATCAACCGCGTGTGGTGTACGGATGGCCTCAAATGTAAAGAAACGTACGTTGCTGACGTTTGCGACAAAGCTTGAAATCATCCGCCACGTTGAAAAAGGAGAAAAGAAGTCCAGCGTCGCCAAAGCGTACAACATACCGCGAAGCACTTTGAGCACGCTGCTGAAGACGAAAAGTTACATCATATTGAAGGCTGAACAATGCAAGCACTCCGTGCACACTGTGTTCGGACACCGGCCTTCGAAAACGTGGAAAGATCACTTCACAAGTGATTTATGGACGCAAGGGCTCGGAACATTCTGGTCTCGGGGCTGATGCTTCAACAACAAGCAAAGAACTTCGCGTTCATTCACAAAGCACAAAACTTCGCCGCAAGTAGCGGGTGGCTTCAACGCTTCAAAGCCCATTACGACATTGTCGGAAAGACGGTCTCTGGAGAAAGCGGGGACGCCAATATGGAGAACATAAAGAAGTGGCTCGAACAAGAGTGGCCCAATGTTCTCGCAAAGTATCAGCCAAAGCAAGTTTTTAACGCTGATGAGACAAGCCTGTTCTGGCAGATGCTTCCGCAACAAATGCTCGACACCCGGGGGAGAAGTGCCCTGGCGGTAAGCAAAACACAGCACGCATCACGGTTCTGTTGGCTGCAAACATAGATGGCAGCACTAAACTTTGACCCTTTGTGGTTGGCAAGTTTCAGACCCCGAACTGCATGCGCAACCGCCACGATATTCCTGTGACATACACCTGGAACAAGAAGTCATGGATGATGCGCGATATCTTTGAAAAATGGCTCAAGGACTGGGACACTGAGCTTGCAGACCAGGGTCGCAAGGCGTGCCTCCTTGTCGACAATTACTCGGCACACCACACGAACGTGGAGCTCATAAACAGAGAGCTCAAGTTTCTGCCGCCGAACACTACGTCAAATCTACAGCCGTTGGATCAGGGTATGATTTGGACGTTCAAGGCTATTTATAAGCAAAGACTGATCGAAACATTGCTCCTAAAGCTGTGAATGAGCCAAGACCTCAAGATCGACTTCTTAGGTGCCCGCATAGGCCGTGCGCTTTCCGAAAATTGCGTATTTCGTGACGTCGCGCCAATTCCTTGCGCCTTCCTCTCCCAGCCATTTCCTCGCCGTCTGACGCAGATGGTCTCCGCTCGCCCGAAAGCACGCCGTCCTAACCAACGCGCACGGTTTTGACTCATAAAGCGCACCGGAAACAGCAAAACCTTCACGAAATACGCAATTTCCGGGAAGCGCGTGACCTACGCGCACAAGAACGCGTAGGTCGTTCGATCGATCAAGCGAGTGCCTCCCGCTCCCCCCTCATTCGAGTTTCGTGGCTGTTGAAGCCATGAAACTCGAATTACTTCCATCTCGTCATGCCGCGTAGTGGTAGCACACATAAGGAGCGGAGCTCGATGCCGTTATAGGTGCATTAGGTTTCCATAGCGCAAAATATTTCTGAGCTCCCCAGAAAAATATAAAAACCGGTCGAGTTCGTGCAACCGGCAGCCTCGAAATTCGGCGAGTGTTATTGGATTTTATCGGATTTATCTGAAAACGCAGAAGCCATATTGGCGATATTTAGCTGGGACTATTTTTTTTTCTAATTTTTTAGTTTGTACTTGGGACCATTAGTTCTGGGATCGTTTGTTCCGGGACCATTTATTCCGGGACCATTTATCCCGGGACCATTTGTTCCGGGACCATTTGTTCCGTTTCCCGGGGACCCCGCCTACCCTCACCGAGAACTGCTGCAATCGCCCCTTTGGGGGCGCAAGCCTCACTGTGCCGCAGGGCATTCAACCAATTCAACTACCCAGTGGTGGAATGGACCTTTTCCGAGAAGCGTTCTGCGCACGCGCGAGCGCCCGATGCCAAGCGGCGGAAGTCGGAACGAAAAATCGAGGAAATTTGGAAGGAGTCTAGATAAACGAGTAGAACACGTAATTGCAGCATATATATAATTCTGTTACACAAAAAAAGAAAGTGTACGGAAGGAAAAACACGACGTTTGGGTGGACGCCACGGATGCCCCTCTTTAAAGTCGCGTTGGGCGCGCGC